GCTATTTGACTTATTTGTAGAACTTGTTTTGATGATACTTTTGTTGTTTACTGTTTCTCTCTATCTACTATAGTTTTTGCCAAAATTTTTAAAAAAGAAACATAATGTTAAATGGTTGTTCCCTTAGGGGCCAACACTCCTATACCAAGTTGACTGACAATTTCGGCTATGTTGAAACGTTTTGTGGATCTTATAATACTGATATACCTGTTATTGTTATCTAAAGTTACTCTCTATCTATTATACTTTAAAAGATAATAGGCAAAAATAACAAAATTTGGAAGAAATTATCATAAAAAGGCAATAACCCTTTAAAGGAGTAATACCACCATTTGTTTTTCCCCTATTCGTCTTTGTTCAAGTTGTTGGTACTTTTCAAAAAATTGTGCAGAATTTATCTCTGTTTCAAATACAGAAATACTAGGCATGAGTAAAGCTTTATCCTGTCCAGTCCTACAGACAAAATTTCACATAACATTTCATTGCATATAAGATAATAACCATCACTGGAAGTTAACCAATCAAATTTCACCCCTTTTTTTCTGTTTACAAGCTTTAGTAACCATGTAACCTCCAGTTTCCAAAATATTGTATAGAAACACCAAATGAAAAAAGAATGGTGCCTTGAAACACCCAAGATATATGTTTATGACTCAGAATTACTTTACTGCAATGAAATGTATGATTAATTTCACACAACTGTCAAATTCAAGGGAATATTTTTTTTCGACCCTTTTTGTACGAAACCAGATGTGACATATTATGATTTGGTGTTATAACACCTTAAGGAGTTGTCAGACAATTTTGGTTGAAATAGACAGTAAGTAGATCTTGACATTCAGAACATTTTTGCCCCGTCCAATTTTCTATCAATAACAATTTTCATAATAATGGAACATTCTTGCATTTTACCCCTATGTTCTATTTTCAACCTTGCAACCATGTTGGTTGGCTCGAGAGATCAACATACACTAGATACCCCAAAGATGTTTATCGCCAAGTTTGGTTCAATTTTACCCAATAGTTTCAGAGAAGATTTTTGTAAAAGTTAAAGGATGACAATGGACAACAGACCACTGGCCCTTTGGCAGGTGAGCTAAACAAAACCACTAAACTAACATTTTCAAATACATAAATAAATTGCTTCGTGGAGCGCAGCTGGATACGACCGCAGAGGTCCAACCCTGAACAGTTGGGGCAAAAATGGTCGCATTATTCACGCTTGATACAGGTCTGAATTTGGATTGTAATTAAACATTTGACACATAAAAGGTTTCTGACAGATTAAATGTAGTCAAAGAACTTAGAATTGGTTATATGATTTGAATTTATATTCAATTTTTTGCTTTTGTGCAACACTTTGCTGTTGCGAATTGACCCCATTCCCCAACAAATAAAATAAAATGCTCCGCTGGGGCGCAGCTTGATACGACCGCAGAGGTCGAACCCTGAACAGTTGGGGCAAGTATGGACACAACATTCAAGCTTGATACAGCACTGAATTTGGATTGTAATTAAATATTTGACACAGCATATATATAGTTTTCTCACACAGAATGAAAGTGGTCTAAGAACTTAAAATTTTTTAATTTACCTATTCAAACCATATCGTTATTATTTGCTTTTATATATACATCAGAAATAACCAATTTAAAATGGAAAATTTTAAAGAAAAAAACATACATGTGATGGACTGTGAAACTCAGATCAGGAGATTGGAAAATTTTGGTCAGGAGATTAGGACTCAGATCAGGAGGTTTTTAATCGACATAAAGTTTGTCGTAAATGTAACCGTGTGCTGTAAAAATTGTCTTTTAAAGTGTGTTTTCTTCAACTTTCAATCCGAATGCATTATGTATTATGTTTATAGTACCCTTGTACTTATAAAGTTTCTTTATCTTAATATTCTACATGTTCAATCTAAGATTCTTTTTTTTTAGTATGTTCTTTAAAATTTTCAATTCATATCTTTTATATATTCTATAGGACAAACATTGCGATCAGATCATTTGTTTACCTATCTGCATTTGCAGTTAGATTTTATTGGAATAATCAGAAACTCATTTAAATTTAGAACATGGGTCATAGTTATTATATGAATTCAATTTAAGCCTTGAAAGAAAGTATAGAACCCTCAAATAATTTTCAAATTATTATTTTTTGATTTGTCCTAAGACATTTAAAATCATTTAATTACCATCCTTTTATGATTATTTGTTCAATTTATATTTTATTTATATTCTTTTAAAAATTTACATTATTTAAAGGAAAGTAACTTAAAACAGGATAAATCAGGGGAAGTAACCCAATAAATACACAAAGTTTTTATTACACAACGGCAGTTAGCCTGAGGTAAAAATCGTTGATTACCAGTATGTTTGACACCCAAGCTGACAAGTGAAGCCATATAATTATGCATGTTAATTGATTTACAGGTAAAATATAACTTCAGGTGATGTCAGTTACACCAGATGTCTGAGATGATATGTTGGGCAGATTTCATACACAGGATTTTTTTTCTCTTCAACGCGAGGTCGGGAGGAGACCCCTGAAAACAGGATTATTGTACTCCCGTCGGGAGGTTTACATGTATGAAAAAAAGAAAAAAAAATCCCCCAAATTTTTTTGAACCCCCTTATGATTCATCACCCCATTGGCCCAAACTCAATCCCAGCTTTCCCTTTGTGGTATGGTACCTTGCAGTACAATTTCAGAGAGATCCATACACTTGAACACAAGTTATTGTCTTGAAACTAGAAAAATGCTTGTTTTTTGGCCCCAAATTCCTAAACGTTTAGGGCAATTACCCCCAAACTCAAACCCAGCTTTCCCTTTGTGATATGGAACCTTGCAGTACAATTTCATAAAGATCCATACACTTACACACAAGTTATTGTCCTGAAACTAGAAAAATGCTTGTTTTTTGCCCTTTTATGGCCCCTAATTACTAAAATTTTGAGGGAATTACCCCCAAAAATCAATCCCAGCCTTCCCTTTGAGGTATGGTACCTTGCAGTACAATTTCAGAGAGATCCATACATTTGAACACAAGTTATTGTCTGGAAACTAGAAAAATGCTTATTTTTTGCCCCTTTTTGGCCCCTTATTCCTAAACTTTTCGGGCAATTACCCCCAAACTCAATTCCAGCTTTCCCTTTGTGATATGGAACCTTGTAGTACAATTTCATAAAGATCCATACACTTGCACACAAGTTATTGTCATTAAACTAGAAAAATGCTTGTTTTTCGCCCCTTTTTGGCCCCTAATTCCTAAAATATGGAGGCAATTACCCCCAAAATCAATCCCAGCATTCCCTTTGTGATATGGAACCTTGTGATACAATGTCAGAGAGATCCATACTCTTACACACAAGTTATTGTCATGAAACTAGAAAAATGCTTGTTTTTTGCCCCTTTTTGGCCCCTTATTCCTAAAATTTGGAGGCAATTACCCCCAAAATCAATCCCAGCATTCCCTTTGTGATATGGAACCTTGTGGTACAATGTCAGAGAGATCCATACACTTACACACAAGTTATGTCTGGAAGTTACAAAAATGCTTATTTTTGGCCCCTTTTTGGCCCCTAATTCCTTAACTGTGGGTACCATAACCCCCAAAATCAATCCCCACCTTCCTTTTGTGGTATTGAACCTTATGGTAAAATTTCATTGAGATTCATTCACTTAAACTAAAGTTAGAGTGCGAAAACTAATGTGTATTCGGACGACGACGCTGGACGACGACGACGACGACGACGACGACGACGACGACGACGACGACGACGACGACGACGACGCCAACGTCATACCAATATACGACCACAAAAATTTTTTTGCGGTCGTATAAAAATAAGAAATTTACCCCCCCCCCCCCTCCCTTTTTTTTTTGCTTTTTGTGCAATACACTATGCTGTTGCAACATTTGCAGATATTTTTACTGGTCTTCCTTTATAAATATGCATTTCTTTAAACATAATTTAAAAGCAGTGTAAGGGAAGTAATCAAAACGTTGTATTTGGATTATCTCCCTTACACTGCTTTTAAATTGTCTTAATTGTTCATTAACCATTACTTTATACATAATTTAAAAGCAGTGTTAGGGAGGTAATTCAAATGATGTATTTGAATTACCTCCCTTACACTGCTTTAAATAATGTTTTGTACTAAAGTATTTGTCCATTAACCAGGACACCCTTGGTTTTCCCCCTTTTTTGCCCCTAATTCCTAAACGGTTTGAGCCATAACCCCCCAAAGCAAATCCTAACCATCCCTTTGTGGTATGGAAACTTGTGGTATAATTTCAGAGAGATCCATACACCGACCCGTTCCACAAGTTATTGTCTGGAAACTAGAAAAATGCTTATATTTGGCCCCTATTTCCTTAAATGTTGTTACCATAACCCCCAAAATCAATCCCAACCTTCCTTTTGTGGTATTGAACCTTATGGTAAAATTTCATAGAGATCCATTCACTTAAACTAAAGTTATTGTGCGAAAACCAATGTGTCTTCGGACGACAACGACGCCAACAACGACGCCAACGTCATACCAATATACAACCGCAAAAAAGCAATAAACCCACGCAAAAATCTTAAACAAACACACAAACAAGAATATCATCAGATAAAGATGCTGGTTTTATTTTTATAGAATACCGATTTCAATATAGTAAGTTTCCTTCTATAAGGTAAATGTGTTTTTTTTATGACTAACAATTTATGTGTCAGTTCCAATTAAACCAGATATAAGAATTCACTTATATATCATTTAGGAAAGCAATTCATCTTGCACACCTATTGACTGCTTAATAAAAAATTACTTTAGATTTAACCACCCTCCTTTCTACAAAAAAGGTAACATGATGTGTTGTAGTAGTGAAATACTGTAAGAAAATTAAATCTGATTTGATTTAGTTCCCATGGATTAAAGGTTGAGACAATTACATAATTTCTCACAAAATTTTCAATATCAGATGACAAACTTATGTTAGAAACAATTACCTGTTTCCGAGTCTCTTCTTGCAAACTTTACATATTTTTTCATCATTTACAACTACTTTAGCTTTTTGGTAAAACATTCTCTGTTCATGAACCTGAAACAAAGACAAACAATTTTGTTTTCAGATATATACACTAAAAGTAACATTTAATGCATTTATATTACTGGATTGTAGACAAAAGATCAAGCTTCTCTGTTTGTTATTCCCATTGTATAACTTCAGACACAAACCTTTTATTAATATATTATATATTCTCTGACCAGTTGAACAGATTGGCTGGATAAAATAAACTGCAATTTGGTCAGAATTTTAATTGGACTGCAATAGGTGGAGACCAACACTTACAGTCAAGTTACAGTAATAACATATCACACTATTTTGTAATACTTCATGCAGACAGCATAGTAAATTCAACATAAGGTCATCTATTCACTGGATCAAGATAAAAGTAAATATGTTGCATACAATCCAATATATAAGTAATTCAAAGCCTAAAGACTTAAAATTATTTTAATTCATACAGATTACAGATAAATATATATCATATAGATTTTAGTTTATTCTAAGAACCTATGTTACCCTAAAAGCATTACTTTAGATCTTAAACATGTTAAATACCACAAAAAGGAGCTAAAAAATTATTATGAAGATTATTTAAGATATTTTAAATACATTTCCAGGATTTTTATGGTTAAAATTTAACTGTTGAGAGAGGAGAAATATCCTATTGCATGATAATTTGTGGTAGAATCTGTTTCTCTATTGATTTTTAGACAGTATGCAGACAAACTTAATCCTTCTTTTCCAATGATTTGCATAAAGATGTGTTCTTTCTATACATGTATGTAATGTCAACAGGCATGGTCGCCTTTTTTCAAATCATTGAAAAATAAAAATAATCAACAGGTCAGGGAAAAAAAAATAGGCTTAGAATTAGAGAAACTATGTTTATCAAACTTACAAAGGGAGCTTCAATTACAGACAACCGATTTTTTTAAATCTTAATCAAACCATACTTGATAAACTAATCTAATCACAAAAACTTGATGTTAATCACTGATACTAGAAAAAAGAAGTCAAGGTTATATGGTTGATGTCAAATAAATATCTACAATTAGATTGATTCTTTAGAGCATATATAGTTGACCTGTTACTTATTATTACTGACAAATTGATATAATCATAGTAATTTTTGTGAACCAATGAGCTATAAAAATGAAATCTATGTCAAATGAACCCTGACATACATTTTCACTTTAAATTGAGCTAATTGATCCAATTTACTCTGGAGACTTATACTACTTATGAGTACTTTTACATTTAAACCACAAAACTATGAAAATAATTTATAGATGATTGATAAATGTCAAGTGGAAAATATTGCATGCATAATTTTGAAAGGAATACATTAGACATAAATCAATTAGGTTAATTCTGAAAAAGTGGGTCAATAAGGATGGAGGACAGGAAATTTGGAAAAGAGAGCATTCAATTATACAGGTCAGAAACTTTGGCTTCCAACACGTCAAATAAAGACCCCTCAAAGAATTATTCAGAGTTCTTTAATTGTAAGGAGCTTTGTACTCTCAATATCTGATATAACATTTCTGTACTCTCAATATCTGATATAACATTTCCTTTACAGCAAGACATGGTTGTGTATTCCTACATCATCCACAGCATAAAGATAAACCCTTTCACATCCATTTTTCTTGTAGACAGGAAAAATCTAGTTTAGCATTTTCTACACTCATTATTTAAGTTCCATGAAAATGAGCCAATATCAATAGCCCCTTACTACGTAATTTGTTTTTTTCAAATACCCTTCATGTAAATTCATGTACCATTCATGCCTTAAATGTGTTTTCCAGTGATGATACATATTATAAGGATTTCATTGACCTTTAATTCTGAAAATAACATGTATTTTATATAAATTCTTAAAGTTAAAGACATCGATTCTGCATTGGAATGATAATACAATTAGATGTCTAGATAACTATAATTATATTGATTGATTGTGGGTTGCTTAACATCCATAAATAATTATAATAGTCATATATAACAGACAGCAATAAACTGAAACTATGTATACTTAAATTCTTACCTGGAGATTTTCAGCATATAACATACTTTTTAACACTTGGCAATCTCTCTTTATTGTTGCTTGGTGTTCCATTACTTTTTCTAAATATCTCAAAATTTCAGCAACAGGAGTACTTGTGGGTAAAAGTTCTAAAGTCTGAAAAAAAAAACCATCGCAATTTTAGGAAAGGAAATGGAGAGAATTCTACATTCTTGAAACTACCATTTATGGAGAACAGTAAGTGGCAAACAGACAGGTAAAAATATTCAGTCTTGTCCCAAATCTAATCATGCTTTTGAAAACTTAGAGATCCTTACAGCTGCTGACAACTGACTATTTTCTAAAAGACAAACCAAGAGTAAAAGTAAGCTGACAATGCTAAACAGGAAATATTCTTGTGATGCATGTATTACCGAAATTAATATACTGTGAATTCATTATTGTTCTTGAGTACTAAATTTCTTTGATTTCTTGGGCATAGATAAACCACAACTGTTCAACAATACATACATTTCTTATAGACTTATTGGATAATTTGACAAAACTCAAAATCAACTATCTACAAAAATTCTATATTTCATAAATCCACAAAAATAAAAAAAAAATAAAAATAAATTCACAGTCCTAATCTACAATACAGTCAAACCTCTAGTTAGCAGTCACTGATTGGGTATACCAAAAATGATCTCTCAAGAGATGTTACCTTTTAAATGAGCTTCTAATGTCAAACATAACAAAACACACTACTGATAATGAATTACAAGTACCTGGTTATGTATTTGAAAGAAAGGACAGAACATCACAAGGTGGGGGTGGTCTGATTGTTTATTTTTCTGAAACAATTAAATTTTTAAGAAAAAACAACATCGAAATAGGGGGTATTGAAACAATGTGGGTTGAAATTAAACCAGATTACAAAAAATCCTTTTTATTATGTTTTGTGTATAGGCCACCAAAGTCACTGATAGATTGGGTTGATGATTTTGAAAAAGAAATAAGAGTGGCAATGACCATGAATTCAGATATAACAATTATGGGTGATTTTAATTTTAATTTTAAAGCACCAAACAAACCCTCCTCAAAAATGGCTGAACGTTTTAGAATCGTACAATTTTCAACAACTGATTGTAGATGCCACAAGGGTAACAAAAGATTCTAGTACATTGATTGATCATATTTATGTCAATAATCCAATTTTGGTACATGAATCACATGTGTGTAGATATGCAATTAGTGACCATTACCCTATCTGTTTAACAAGGAAAGAAGCAAATATAGGAAAAAAGAATACACACAGTACAATTACTTATAGAAATTTCAAAAATTTCAACCAAGATGAATTTTTATTAGATCTGCAAACTACACCTTTTCATAAAATTGAATTTGAAGAAAACCCCTCTGACTGTCTACAATTGTTTTATGATATGTTGAACAAAGCTTTAGATAAACATGCTCCTGTTGTTAAAAAGAGAGTAAAAAGGGACAGACAGCCTGAATGGTATAACAGTGAAATCATTTACGCTAGGAATATGAGAGATAAATATAATGCACTTGGTTTATGGAGTGAGTATAGATTTTGGAGAAATAAAACTAAACATATCATAGATAGCTCAAAAAAGAATTATTATAAAAATATGGTAAAAGACTCCAATGACCCTAAAACTTTATGGAAATGTCTTCACAGTCTGAACCCAAAAGTTAAAAATACACCATATGAATTAGCCACAGAAGATAACAATACAACTAAAAGTAAAAAATCAATAGCAGAAACTTTTAATAACTTTTTCACTTCCTGTGCTGAAAAATTAAGAGAACAAGGAAGTTATACACCTGTAAACAAAGCAGATTTCAGTAATCTTGGTAAATTTGTTAAAAATAAATTACATAAACATGATAAATTTTCTATACCACCAGTGATCATGAATGAGCTATTTAATGAGTTAACAAAACTTGATATAAACAAAGCATCTGGTATGGATAATATAGGACCAAAAATCCTAAGATTAAGCGCCCCTGTTATTGCATCACCTCTCACATACATATTTAACAGAATGATAGATACTGGTATATATCCTTCTTTACTGAAGAATGCTAAGGTAACACCAGTTTTCAAGGATGGTGACAAGCTTTTAGCAACAAATTACAGACCTATATCTGTTCTTCCAACTTTATCAAAATTAATAGAAAGGCATGTTTCTAATAACATGTACAAATACTTATCTAAACTTAAACTTTTACACCCTACACAATCTGGTTTCAGGCCACAGCATTCTTGTCAAACTGCACTTATTAATATCATTGACAAATGGTTGCAAGAAATGAATGATGGTAATTTAAACCTAGCAATTTTATTAGATTTTAAAAAAGCTTTTGATTTGGTAGATCATGACATTCTTTGTTTAAAGCTTGAAATTTATGGATTTAGTGAGGCTACTGTTAGTTTTTTCAAGTCATACCTGAATAACAGAAAACAGCAGGTAAACATTTGTAATGTTTACTCTGAACAACAACATGTAAAATTTGGTGTCCCCCAAGGTTCTATACTTGGTCCTCTATTGTTTGTGCTATTTATAAACGACCTTCCCTTATGCATTGAAAATTGTGAAACAGACCTATATGCTGATGACACCACTCTTCATAAATCAGGGAAAAACATAGAAAATATACATGATGATGTTCAAGAAGATTTATACAGGGTTGAAGAGTGGTGCAAAATGAATAACATGTTCATTAATGCAAATAAAACAAAATGTCTGGTTACTGGAACAAAGCAGAAACTATCAATTCAGACTTATCAACCAAACTTAATAATAGATTCAAAAGTATTACAAAATTCTTCATGTGAAAAATTATTAGGTGTTAAAATTGACAGCACACTTAACTGGAGAAATCAAATTGACAAAGTTTGTGCTAATATATCATCCAGAATATACCTCCTTTCTAAAATAAAGAAATTTTTAGATATAAATGCAAGGAAAACATATTACAATGGGTATATTCTGCTCCTGATTGACTACTGCTGTATTATTTGGGGTGAATGTAAAAATGAAGGGATAACAAGAATTTTAAAACTCCAAAAAAGGGCAGCAAGATTAATTCTAGATGCAGTTCCTTTATCCCCCTCAGCCCCCTTATTTAAAGAACTTGGGTGGATGACAGTTGACAATAGAATAAAATACCACAAATATTTACTTCTATATAAATGTATGCGTATGGAAGCACCAATGTACCTAGTTCAAAAGTTTAAACAGAAATCAGATAATAATCCTTACTCCCTGAGAGGCGTCACTCAAGGTAATCTGATAGTTCCTAAGCCAAAAGCTGAGCTATTTAAGAAATCTTTTGTTTATTCTGGATCAGTGTTATGGAATGGACTACCAAACAAAATGTGTAAAGCTCAAAACACTTATACTTTTAAACAAAGTATCAAGAAGTACTTAACACAGTCCTGATAAGATTATGTTTTCTACAATGTATTTGTATATTCTTTTATTTATATTTGTATTTGATTTTTTGACTACATGTACATCTTGAACAGCCTTATATCTTATCATGTTAGTAATATTACATTGAACTAATTGACTGTAAATTAACTATGTGTAAATATCTGTTTTTTGATTGTATTGTAATTTGTATGTGAGGGCCTCAGGGAAGATTAGTTTATTGTAACTAACTGAGTTTACCCTCTTTAAATAAAGAATTTATTATTATTATTATTATTATTATTATATATAGTCAGCTATGTCAAGAAGACAGAAAATAACAACATTCTGAAGTTTTATCAAATTGATTAATATTCAGTTTAAATGCAAACTATGAAAAAAAGGACATGTTAATAAACTCAAATGAGACAGCAACCCAACAACAGAAATAGCAAAATACATTTAGAAGGCATCAAGTATTCTTCAATAATGAGACAGGTGTATATAGATAAAATATGTCAAGCTCCAAATTGTCACCAGTCTATAAAAGTTGTAAAAAATTTGAACAGAAAAAAATCTGCCAGTGCCATCAACACCCATTTCTATAAAGTATGAAAAACATTAAGATATGAAATACAACAACTTCTGACAAAGTTCTTGACTTGGGACAAGCACATAAAAATGTGGCAAAGTTAACTATTCTTTTTATATAAAGCTGCCCCCTTTTTAATCTCCATTAGTTGAATTATAAAACAAAAATAAAATTACATACAATAATAAATTGTTGAGATGTGTCTCTCTTGTATGTAATTTTTTGAAAGCATAAAGCAAATGTTGAAATTCAAACGGCAACTCTTAAGTCAGTGAACTCTGACTTAGGTTACATGGTCAAATGATCTCTGTTGAAATGAAAAATATGTCAATACTAATACAACGTCATACCAAGTATCATTGACATATATATCATAAGTGGCTCCCCTTAAACTGACCTAAACACAAACTTAAATAAATTGTCGATGACCATTTCTTTTACCATTGCACCTCAATGACATCATTTTCAGTAGGTACTTAACAATTTTGGGATGCTTTGTGACAGCTAGTCTTATCTCAGTATTAGTGTTATCTTCATGCAAAGGTTCATAGAATGGTAAGTCCAGCCAAACAATATGGCATAATACATATGCAGGCCTCAACAAAGAACTCTGTATTGAATATACAATATAATTTGGGTTTCTCTAACATTTTCTATAAATCAAAGCTTCAGATAACCTCATCATTTATACATAGGGAAAATATCCTGTTATGTGATAATTAAGCCATAATAAAGGAATCATGTAATTCCCATGAATGTTAAAGATGGCCATTATAAGGAGTGGAAAGAGCATTTCATTCACAAAAAGGTAACGGCTCAAATGAGTTATATAATATAGTGAAAATGTCTGGGCAGGATACAAATTAATATTGTAGGTGTAGGTGACTGTTAGGTTTCACTGTATCGATATTTCTGTCAATGACAATATAAACTATTGATACAGAGATAGATCTTGCCTGTACTTAATTTTGAAAGTAAAACACAAATGTTGATATCAAAATGGCAATACTTTAGCATTTGAACTATGCAAAACATCCATAGTCAATGAATCAGAGATTCAGAACAATGTTCAGAACCAAATAATCTCCATGGAATGATGTATTAGCCAATACTAATACAACTGCAGTGCATGCAAAGTATCAATGACTTATCAAAAGTGATATCCTTAAACTGACACTTTATTTGGTCTCTGGTGGATATTTGTCTCATTGGCAATCATACCACATCTCCTTATTTTTATACTTTAATAACAATCTTTAACATGGAAACTATGCAAAAATTCCAAAGTCAATTAACCATGACTGAAGGAGCCGAGCCATGTAATCTTCTTGGAAATGAAACACTAATAGAGAACTACATACCAAATATCATGGATTACCATAAGTGGTTTCCTTAAACCTCCTGTCAGCAGAAAATTCAGAAAAGACAATCTGATGGACAAAACATTGCTAGTTAATTCAAAGTTGCTGGACCATGATCTAGGGAACAGGGCCTCAAAATGGTGGACAAACTGAGATGTACTGATAGTAATGCAACTATATAGAAAATGTCATTGTCTATCATAAGTAGCTACTACCACACAAACTTAAGCAGAAAACTTAACATTGAAAATTGGTAATTAATTGAAAGTCACTGGACCTTGACCTACTGGAGTAGGGCCTGGAAATAGTTGTCAAACTAATATGTACTGATAGTAATGCAACTTTATATAAAATATCATTGATATATCACAAGTAGTTCCTATCAAACTTACTTAAGCTGAAAACTTAATACTGAAAATTTTTAATTAATACAAAGTCACTGGACCACCCCCTAGGGGCAGGGCCTCAATATAGTCATCAAACTGATATGTACTGATAGTAATGCAACTTTATATTAAATATCATTGATATATCACAAGTAGTTCCTATCAAACTTACTTAAGCAGAAAACTTAATACTGAAAATTTCTAATTAATACAAAGTCACTGGACCATCCCCTAGGGGGCAGGGCCTCAATATAGCCATCGAACTGATATGTACTGATAGTAATGCAACTTTATAGAAAATATCACTGATATATCACAAGTAGTTCCTATCAAACTAACTAAAGCAGAAAAAGTTGCTTATTAATTTACAGTCGCTGAACCATGACTAGGTAGCAGGGCCTTGAAATAGTCACCAAACTGATATATACTGATAGTAATGCAACTTTATAGAACATATCATTGATCTATCACAAGTAGTTCTTATCAAACTGACTTAAGCAAAAACTCAACAATTGTTGACGCCGTCGATGTAGTTGCCGGAAAAAGCAATACCTATGTCTTGCCTTTCTCAACTATCGTCACAGGCGAGACAAAAACTAGGCAAAAGTTTCAAAGTCAATACACTATGTTGAGGGGGGGTGAGGGGGGGGGGGGGCAAATTATTTCCATGGATATGTGCTAACGCTGATACTACTACACAGCAAATATCATTGTCTTACCATTAGTGGTTCCCCTCTTACTGAATTCGGCAGAAACTAATATTTCATCTAAGCAAAAGTTTCAAAGTCGTACACAATGACTTAGGGGGAGGGGCCCAATAATCTGGATGTAATTGAGATGTGCTTATGCTACTTCAACTGCATACCAAATATCATTGACAAACCATTAGTGCTGTCCCTTAAACTACCATAACCACAAACTTAAACAAATTGTTGACGTGGATGTCTATGACAGTGCTGGAATCAGCAGGCCTAAGTCTTGCCTTCACATAGCAAGACAAAAACCTTTAGCTCAGTGATACTTACTTTAGAGACATCAATTTTTGTGGCATGTTCCTGTAACAGTCTGAAGGCTGCTGTCATATTTTGTTGAGGCTTAATGCCCTGACTAGCTGACATTCCTAATGATGATGATGGAGGAGGTTGAAGATACATTTTTAATAAATAATAATACACCTGTAAATAGAACAAATAACAATAGGTAAGGACAGATGATTCCCACATCCAAAAATATAAATCAAAGATCACCACAGAAAAAAAATTCAAGGGTAGAGCTTATAAAGTAATCATTTTATCTGTAAAAAATATTTATAAATTCTAAACCTTTTGCAATACTCTTAAATACATACATGTGTGTTTACAAAATGAATGTATCTTAATAGGATAGCGTTGAAGGACTTTCAACTTATGTTTTATCTGACATTTTTACTGATAATTTAAAAATTATCTCTTGGAATGTAAATGGTGGCTTACAAACAAAACTTGATGATAAAGCATTTGTTAATTTTTTATATGTACATATGATCTTGTTTTCCTTATGGAATGTTGGTTTGAAAAGGATTTTTCATTTAATTTACCTGATTATAATTGTCATTTATATCCGAGATTTAAGTCTAAATCTATTCAAGGAGGAGGTAGTGTGATTTTGATTAAAAAATGTTTTTCTACTGTTATTGCTATTGAAACGTATTTTAGAATCTATTATATGGTTGAATATTAAGAAGGGTATATTAACCAAAGACAAAACTGTATACATTGCTTGTGTTTATATTGCCCCCGTCAAATCTAAATACTATAAGTTATATGACTGTAATTTATATAATGAACTAGAAAACAGTATTGATTTATACTCTATACTTGGTCATGTTTTTATTCTTTGCGATATGAATAGTCGTACTGGGACGTTAGCTGATTTTGTGGAAAATGATGATATTCATTTTACTGTAAAGAACCGAATTTGTGGCGCTTTTGAATATGTAGCTGATAGTGTTCTTCCGATAAGAGTCAACCCTGATTTAAATACAAACAGTTATGGTCCTAAATTAATTAGTATGTGTAAATCATCAGGCTTGAGGATAGTGAATGGTAGGCACAAAGACGAATTTTCAAATGACTTCATATACTATGGCGCAAATGGTATGAGTGCTCTGGACTACTTTATTGTACCTTCATTTTATTTTCTGAATATAAAACAGTTGATTGTGTCAAACTTAACAACTTTTTCGGACCATGCGTTTTTACATGTAGAACTAAATCTATTAAACACCATGCGAAACCCAGTCAAATGTTCAGATGCCGTGGGAAAAGTAGAACGTCAAGTTAAATACAAATCGAAAGATCAATTTAAAGAACAATGTAGTGAGTGTATTTGTGTCAATATGGACAATATCATTCGTTTACAGGATCGTATAAACTTTGAAAATCAAAATTTGTTTGATGAATCATTGAGCAATTTTACATGTATGATAGAGGACATAATGTCGCCTTTCTTTAAAACGATGCCTTATGTTAACAATAAACTGTATAAACCAGTTAAACATTTCGACAAACCTTGGTTCAACACACGATGCAAGGAACTTTATCGATGTTATATCGATTATATACATGTATTCAATCGTTCAAAATCAATTGTCAACCATACAAACTTAATTAGTGCAAAAGAGGGAATATAAAGCTATGGAACGTCGACTTAAGCGAGAATACCAACGTATCGAGGGCAATACAATGGAATTTTTGAGATATAGCAACCCAAAATGGTTTTATTCTAAATTTAGGAAAAGGACCCAAAGGAAAAATAATGTATCGTTACATTCTTTCTATGAACATTTTAAAAAATTGTCTTCTGTTAATATAGACAATACATGTGACAATGATTTATTTAATAACACTGACGGCGATTGTGTATATCCTTAACTTGATGAAGAAATTACAGAGGAGGAGATTTTAAAAGCCATTCGCAATTTAAAGCGCAATAAAAGTCAGGGAGTAGACGGTATACTGAATGAATATTTTATTGAGTATAAAGTTGTGTTTATGCCAAGGTTTTTAATAGTATTTTAGTCTGGAATATTTCCTACTAGCTAGGCTATTGCTATACTTGTTCCTATCTTCAAGAAAGGAAACGAAGACGATCCAAATAACTACAGAGGTATAAGTCCTGTAAGTAATTTCGCAAAATTATTTACTTCCGTATTAAATCAACGTTTGATGGACTGGTCCGATTCTTTTGATGTCATAACTGATGCCCAGTTCGGCATTCGCCCAGGTTTTGGAACTGTAGATGCATTTTTTGCTCTAATTTCTGTAATTTTTAAGTCCTTATCAGCAAACAAATGTCTTTATTGTTGTTTTGTTGATTACACAAAAGCATTCAATACTTTTCAAAGGCTAATGCTATGGTATAAATTGTCAAAAATTGGTATCCAAGGTAAACTTCTAACTGTTATTAAATCTATATATACTAATGTGTCTACTTGTGTATGTGTTGGTGGTTTTAATTCTGATTACTTCACCAATCAATTGGGCTTGATGCAGGGAGAGGTGTTATCTCCCATACTTTTTTCATTATATGTTAATGATTGTGAAATGGCTTTCATTAATAGTAATGTTATTCCATATGAGATGAAAGAATTGAATTTATTCCTACTTGCTGATGATATGGTTATTTTCTCAGAATCTGTTTTAGGGTTACAAAATATGCTTGATACATTATATGAATATACATCAAGCCATTGAGTGTTAATATTAATAAAACTAAAATTGTAGTATTCAGAAAAGGTGGTAGAGTTCATGTTAATTATAAATGGTATTATGATAATAAAGAAATTGAAGTTGTTGATAATTTTACCTACCTTGGTGTACTTTTAAATTTTAATGGCAAATATAATATGTTACAACAGAAACTGTCAGAACAAGGTAGCTTTAAGAAGAAACTTCAAAAGTATGCATTTAAACTATGTCACTTTGTTATCACTTTTTGATACTTATTTTAATTCTTTATTGAGTTATGCAAGTGAAATATGGGGTGCACACAAAGCCCCGGTCATGGAGAGAGTTCACATGAACTATTGTAAGAATATACAATGTTTGCTTTAAGAAGAAATTTCAAAAGTATGCATTTAAACTATGTCACTTTGTTTGAGTGATGAATCTGAAAATGCATCACACGTTATAGCTGTCTAATATAAACCCTGAAACCAAATTTCAGAAATCCTTGTAATGTAGTTCCTGAGATAAATGTGACGGAAATTTTCAACTACTTGGATGTCATGTGTAAAATGATGTAAGTGTTCAGTAAACAGGAAGTTGTTGAGTGATGAATCTGAAAACGCATCACACAGTATAGCTGACTCATATAAACCCTGAAACCAAATTTCAGAAATCCTTGTAAAGTAGTTCCTGAGAAAAATGCGACGAAAAATATTCATGGGACGGACGGACGGACTGACGAATGGACTGACGAATGGATGGACAGACGGAGGGACGGACAGAGGTAAAACAGTATACCCCCACTTTTTTAAAGTGGGGGTATAATTACTTATATGGCGAATTAGAGAGGTGTCCAAAAAATAAGTGTAATTGGTTGTATTTTATAAAGAATGAACTGTTTGTTATTGGTTTAGGTGATGTATGGTATAGCCAAACCCTTATTTCAGACTTGCCTGATGTATGTTTTGCTGTCATAAAGCAACGTTTATATTATTGTCTAAACAGTTGCATACTTCTCCAAAATGTTCTAATTATAAATATATGTTAGATAATTTTTGTCTGCAATTTAATTTATGCAAACCAATTCCTAATGTTTACAAAACATGTATTACAAAAATAAGATTAAGTTTCCACAACTTAGCTATAGAAAATGGAAGATTTTATGGTATAACAAGAAATAATAGAATATGTACTTTTTGTAAAAATGATATAGAAGATGAGTTTCATTTCCTCCTCAAATGTCCATTTTTTCAAGGTTTTCAAAAATTTTATATTAAGCCATATTATTGGAAAAAACCATCTATGTACATATTCATTAAACTAATGAGTACAAACAATGTAAAAGAGCTGTGTAATTTAGGTAAATTTATTTTTAGATCTTTTAAACTTAGCACCGATATGTTAAAATAGTGTTTATTTATAATTACAACACCTTCTGCTATTCTGTCACAAATTTTGTGTTTATATATGTATTATTGATGTGGATGTAATTCAAATGTGCTTTTATACTTTATACAGACTTTGGTAATAAAAATATATATAATTTAAGACAAAAAAAACAACATTTATAACTATACATTTGTACCGATTAAAATTGGTTTCCAAACTTATCTCAAATAATCTAAAAATTTAAGGTTTATTCTGAGAGAATCAAGTGTGGTGCTTGAAATCCAAGTGTTGTGCTAAAAATTCAGGGATGGAGGAACACCACTCTGAATGGCCTGTGGTGATAGTTACATTATCTATTAAGTGTCAAATTTGCTTTGGTCAGTTATAAAGTAAATTGAACCAATACTTACATAAATTTTGGAAAGAAGAGTTTGAAAATCTATCATTCCAATAAAAGATTAACTAATGAAGAAATATTGAAATCTGAAATATTAAACTGTGTTTTGACAGAGATTTACATGAAGCTGTAGTGCAAATTATATTATAGCAGGGTTCTTAAAACTATGTTCCCAATGTTGTAATCTTGTTCAGGGAGACAGATTTATACAAGTTCTTCTTGTTTCCGAATCCCCAAATCCCTGAATCTCTATTGTATAATTATAATTTGTGCACTTTTGAAAAATAAAATATTGTTTAAACTAAGCTGTTGTGCATAAAAAACAAAAACAAAATACAAAAACAAACTCACATCTTTATTTCCTTCGCGCCCTCTGTCAAAATAATTCAAACAGTACCTAAAAAAAAAAATAAGTGCAAAAGTTTATATGTGTATTCAAAATAGAAATAGAAGTTAGGACTCAAAACCCTTGATAACTTTTAACAACTGATTTCAACTTGCCTCACGATAGTAAGCAGATCTTTTTACATTTCCCTTATCTATTATTTTTTGGTATTTGAATCATTATTTTAGACTATTTCTTTATAATTGGAGTACCAAAATAAATCTATTGAAAATTGCAATTGTTACCTTTTGGCTAGAGTATCATCTCTTAAAATATGAACATAAATTCCTAATGCTTGTTCATGTCTGTCTAATCTACCCAGTAATATAGCTCTTTCTTCATAAAAACCTAAAACAAAGCAAACATATAAACATAAATTTTACCAACAAGTTATTTTTAAAAGGCCTTAAACATCAAGAAAATTAACTTTCTTATAAAAGTACAAACTGTATGTTAACATGTACTGAATTTACATACAACAAAATAAATCTACTTGATAAAACAGGGACATATAGATTTCCACCACCACATCATGAGTGATACCATATTTATCCACTCTATACTTTTAATTTTCAAATTTAAAACACGAGGCGTAATGGGCTTTTTTAAAAAAATCTTAATTTTAACTGTTGAGAAATATCATAGTAAATGAGATTCTGTTGTGGAATCTTTTTCTCAAATGTTTTTAGATGATATGTAGGCAATATTTATCTTTCTGTTCAATGATCTGCAGAAAGATGTGATTTTTCTATTTGACGTCATCAGGTATGGTTGCCTTTTTACATGACATCACAATAGCAAATTTAGAAGAAAGCAAGAAAATTTGACGTTATAATTGAATCTTGTTAATTATCCCATTTCGGGAAAATAATTAGAGACACAGTTTTTTAGTATAATTATATGACTGTCTAATCTGAAAAGAAAAGCTTGACAAAATTCAAAAAAATTTCTATTACACAACCTAAAAAGTGTGTGGTTTGATATAAATTGAATATATTTCACATAGTTCACTGGATTTCTAAACTATTCCCAAAAGCTCTCTCTGTAGGGCTTCAATTTTATATCTGTTTTCATGTTTTATCTTTTTAGGCGTTTACTTTAGAAAAGAGTTATCTTACTAGAGTTTTATAAAATAACTATAATATACAAACCATCTATAGGAAACCTAGTAAGAAGTCTTTCTGGCATATAATATTGAGAACACTCTAAGAATTCTATTAACTTTCTTCTATATTCCCCTAGCTTGTCAGGTTCTTGACCTGCTTTGGATGGTAGATGTCCTGAATAAAAATATACCAGATTGTGTTTAAAATTTACAAGGCTATTTTCACAAAATATTACACTTATATTAATATGAACAATTAGTTGCCTTGTCAACTTACAAGATTTGGTACATATATTACTCAGATCCAACTTACAGAAACACTCCAAAACATCAAAGATACATATATTAAGAGTCTAAACATGCTGAATCAAAAACACAATATCTAAACAACATTATTGTGTTATCTTTAAAAAAAAAACCAGATGGATTGAACAGAATGTCAACATATCTGTTTATTGTGACTAATAAACACCAAACTTCCTCAAAAATCCGACATGAATTACCATCCTTAAGTCTCACATGAATAACTGTCCTAAAGTCTCACATGAAAAACTGTCCTAAAGTCTCACATGAATTACTGTTCTACAAGTCCCACATGAATTAACATTCTTAAGTCCCAAATAAATTACCATCCTAAAGTCTCACATAAAGTACCATCTTAAAGTCTCACATGATTAACCATCCTAAAGTCCCACATGAATAACCGTCCTAATGTCTCACATAAATTACCGTCTTAAAGTCCCACATGAATTACCATCCTAAAGCCTCACATGATTAACCATCCTAAAGTATCCCATGAATAACCATTCTAAAGTCTCACATGATTAACTGTTCTTAAGTCTCACATGAATAACCATCCTAAAGTCCAACATGAATAACCATTCTTAAGACCAACATGAATAACCCTCCTCAAGACTCATATGAATTACCATCTTAAAGTCTCACATAATTAACCATCCTAAAGTCTCACATAATTGAACATTCTTAAGTCTCACATGAATAACCGTCCTGAAGTCCCACATGAATAACAGTCCTAAAGTCCCACATGAATAACTGTCCTAAAGCCTCACATGATAAACCATCCTAAAGTATCCCGTTAATAACCGTCATAAAGCATCACATGAATAACCGTCCTAAAGTCTCACATAAATAACCGTCCTAAAGTTTCACATGAACTACCATCTAAAGTCCCACATGGTTAACCATCCTAAAGTATCCCATGTTTACTGTCCTAAAGTTTCACATGAATAACCATCCTAAAGTCTCACATGAACTACCGTCTTAAAGTCCCACATGAATAACTGTCCTAAAGTCCCACATGAATTACCATCCTAAAGTCACGAAATAGAAGTTCCTTCATAATATGAGTTCCAAATGGAAAAAATATTCTGGAATATTATTTCCACAGGAATAAATATTACAGTAAATGTTCCTAACGGAATAAATAGTATAGAATATTTGTTCCAACAGGAACAGGTATTATGACATTGTTTATAACAAAGTTTCCACTGGAACTTCTGTTAGGCGGAACAAATATACGTTGACATCTCACATGAATTATCCTCCTTAAGTCTCACCTGAATTACCATCTTAATGTCCCACATGAATAACTATCCTTAAGTCTTACATGAATTACCGTCCTAAAGTCTCACATGAATTACCATCCTACAGTCTAACATGAATTACCGCCCTAAAGTCTCAAATGAATAACTGTCCTTATCTTACTTGAATTACCGTCCTTAAGTCTCACATGAATTACCATCTTAATGTCCCACATGAATAACTGTCCTTAAGTCTTACATGAATTACCGTCCTAAAGTCTCACATGAATTACCATCCTACAGTCTAACATGAATTACCGCCCTAAAGTCTCAAATGAATAACTGTCCTTAAGTCTTACTTGAATTACCGTCCTTAAGTCTTACATGAATTACCATCTTAATATCCCACATGAATAACTGTCCTCAAGTCTTACATGAATTACCACCCTAAAGTCTCACATAAATTACCATCTTACAGTCTCAAATGAATTACCATCCTACAGTCTCACATGAATTACCATCCTACAGTCTCACATGAATTACCTTCTGGCAGTGACTGTAAATATTCTGTCATCAATACTTGTACTTTCTCTCTGAGTGACTGAGCCAACATATTATGAAATTCAGGTGTCACATCTCCACATTCCGTAATTATGTGTTCCTGTGGATTAAAAAGATGAAATTTTATCTTACAAGAAAACATTAATGAAAAATACCTAAATGTTTATAACTATTATGTAAATGGTGTCCTTTGGAAATGTGAATTCCTATTATAATTAACTGTAACTTGCTACCTCAAAATGTGTCAGTGTACTTTGAGTTCCCTAAAGGGATAATTACTACTTTTGCATGGTGAAATGTATTACTTTAGTGTGACTGCTTGTAAACAAATCTGTCAGTATACCATGATCATGTTATTGTAAAGTGTGGTTCTTCATTGTGCAGTTCATTTACAAGCAAAGGCAAATTTCAAAAGAACTCTGGATAATGAGGTCAAGAGACACTACAGCAAATCTCCCATTTTATAGAAACCGTAATTTACAATTATATTGAATACATTCTCGATTTTTTAAATTTCATATCATAACAGATATAGGACTAAAATATCAAAGCCTGAAAGGTAGTTAAAGCAATTGCTGCCTAGTTAATGTTTTTGTGACTTTTATCTTACATCCACATGTAAAAGAATCAAACCTGACAGGGGTCTATGTATTGAGAAGTAAAAAGTGGAAAAAGTCACTATTTCAAGCTTCGTTATATATGATAAGCATAAGAAATTTATGACATTTTAAGATTATGTATAGCAAACTAGAGCTCAACGCAAAGCAGGAGGACCTTGATGACCCACAGTTAATTATTTGATAATTTGTTTACAGAGTGGATAGTATCAGTGCCATCAGAAATTAAGAAGCCCTTAATAAATAGTAGGGTCCGTAAGTTAATGGAAGTTTTAAAAGCATGGTAAGTGCAATCAAAACATGTGAAAATGAGCTACTTGTAAAACAATTTATGTGAGATTAAATTACATAACTTTAACGTAGTGATTTTACACTAGTTTTATGAATGAACAATAATTTTATGAATGAATGATAATTTTATGAGTGAACAAGAGGAAATTGAATTCTTTCAAGAAAAAAGGACGAATTAAACAACATAAAATAGTATATGGGATAGTTCAGTAAAATTTTCAATATTAAATTAACAACTGACATGCATCCATATTTTGTTGAAACATCTCAAGTACGAAATCTCAGGTAAAAAAAAATGCACTTTTTCAATACTTCTACAATATTTGATAGTCAAGAGGTTGTCACCTTAAATACAATAAAATGCTCCGCAGGGCGCAGCTTGATACGACCGCAGAGGTCGAACCCTGAACAGTTGGGGCAAGTATGGACACAACATTCAAGCTTGATACAGCTTTGCATTTGGATTGTGATTAAATATTTGACACAGCATAGGTTTCTGACACAGAATGAATGTGGTCTAAGAACTTAAAAATTTAAAATTGGACATTCACCTATTATGGTCCAATATCTAAAATCTAAATACATGGTTAGATTCAGCATATCAAAGAACCCCAAGAATTCAATTTTTGATGAAATCAAACAAAGTTTAATTTTGGACCCTTTTGACCTCAATGTGGACAAAGTTGATAACGGGGCCCAAAAATCAGAAAATCTAAATACATGGTTAGATTCAGCATATCAAAGAACTCCTATATATTCAATTTTTGTTGAAATCAAACAAAGTTTAATTTTGGACCCCGATTTTGACCAACTTGAAAACTGGGCCCATAATCAAAAATCTAAATACATGTTTAGATTCAGCATATCAAAGAACCCTAAGAATTCATTTTTTGTTAAAATCAAACTAAGTTTAATTTTGGACCCTTTGGACCTTAATGTAGACCAATTTGAAAACTGAACCAAAAATTAAGAATCTAAATACACGGTTAGATTCGGCATATCAAAGAACCCCAATAATTCAATTTTTGATGAAATCAAACAAAGTTTAATTTTGGACCCTTTGGACCTCAATGTGGACCAATTTAAAAACGGGGCCCAAAATCCAAAAACTAAATACACGGTTAGATTCAGCATATTAAAGAACCCCAAGAATTCAAGAATAAAACCTCATTGAAATTGGTCAAGAAATAAGCAATTTATACGAAGTATCTTCTTTTGCACAATACTGTGCAATTAAATATTTCTTGCTATTGCGTAATACTGTACAATTGACAATTTCTTGCTATTGCGCAATATTGTGCTATTGGATATTTCTTGCTATGGCGCAATACTGTGCAATTGAAGATTTCTTGCTATTGCGCAATACTGTGCAATTGAAGATTTCTTGCTATTGTGCAATACTGTGCAATTGAAAATTTCTTGCTATTGCACAATACTTATTATATAATAATTTACACATCCTGTTTGGTGTGTATCTCCTACCATATCATTATTATTTGCTTTTAAATATAAATCAGAAATAACCAACTTAAAATGGAAAATTTTAAAAGAAAAAAAAAAAGGAAAAAAAGAAAAAAAAGGAAAAAAAAAAAAAATCCCCCCCCCCAAATTTTTTGAAACCCCTTATGATTCATCACCCCCAAACTCAATCCCAGCCTTCCCTTTGTGGTATGGTACCTTGCAGTACAATTTCAGAGAGATCCATACACTTGAACACAAGTTATTGTCTGGAAACTAGAAAAATGTGTTTTTTGGCCCCTTTTTGGCCCCAAATTCCTAAACTTTTAGGGCAATTACCCCCAAACTCAAACCCAGCTTTCCTTTGTGATATGGAACCTTGTAGTACAATTTCAGAAAGATCCATACACTTACACACAAGTTATTGTCCTGAAACTAGAAAAATGCTTGTTTTTTTCCCCTTTTTGGCCCCTAATTCCTAAAATATTGAGGCAATTACCCCCATCATCAATCCCAGCCTTCCCTTTGTGGTATGGTACCTTGCAGTACAATTTCAGAGAGATCCATACACTTGAACACAAGTTATTGTCTGGAAACTAGAAAAATGCTTATTTTTGGCCCCTTTTTTGGCCCCCAATTCCTAAATGTTTTGGCAATTACCCCCAAACTCAATTCCAGCTTTCCCTTTGTGATATGGAACCTTGTAGTACAATTTCAGAAAGATCCATACACTTACACACAAGTTATTGTCATGAAACTAGAAAAATTGCTTGTTTTTTGCCCCTTTTTTGGCCCCTAATTCCTAAAATTTTGAGGCAATTACCCCCAAAATCAATCCCAGCATTCCTTTTGTGATATGGAACCTTGTGGTACAATGTCAGAGATATCCATACACTAACACACAAGTTATGTCTGGAAGTTACAGAAATGCTTATTTTTGGCCCCTTTTTGGCCCCTAATTCCTTTACTGTTGGTACCATAACCCCCAAAATCAATCCCAACCTTCCTTTTGTGGTATTGAACCTTGTGGTAAAATTTCATAGAGATCCATTCACTTAAACTAAAGTTAGAGTGCGAAAACCGATGTGTCTTCGGACTACCCCGGACGACGACGACGCCAACGTCATACCAATATACGACCACAAAAATTTTTTTGCGGTCGTATAAAAATACATCTGCAAGAAAATATGTTGAAACTTCACAAACCCACTATTGTTTTTCAACTGTGTCACTAGAAAACATGCAGGATTTTTAGAATAACAGATCAGGAATCTGCTTAAAACTTTGGCTTGATCTCGTTCACAAAAATGGCTTTACGCCACAGAATTACAGCAATTACTTTAACATTCCTGTACAGCAGACTGGGCATTTTAAAACTTTTCTCATAAAATTCTTTATCTAATGTATTAATACTAAATAATATATATATTATTTCACCAACCAAGTAAGCAATGGCAAGGTCTTTTGAAATCTTTTCTAGATACTCCAAAACTTTAAATCTTGGCAAGGTTTCCACTTCTGGTAAATCTTCAGTAAATATCTATATCAAACAAAATACTTGATAAAATCATCTAGTTATCCTCATACCAATAAAATTTGCCTAGATAAAATGTATAGATAGCAGATACACTATTTAATTGTACAGAATTTTCAACATTACATAATATTACCAGTATATTAATGTCAGTTATATTTACAAAGCTTTGGTTTAGATTAATCCTTTCTTCCATGTGATGTTTTGAAAATATTGTTTAAGCTTTACTTAGTTCTACTTAAAATTTATTTATGATTTTGAAATTCACATCATTATACATATGAAAGAGTTGAGTGCACACTCTGAAATGTCTTACCTGCTTTACTAACCATGATTAATTTATTGTTCATAGTCCTAAAGATAAAGTTTTACTACAAGTATCACATAAACTTAACATTATCAATGATCCATGAAAATGAGGTCAAGAACATATAAACCAAGTCAGACAAACATGTACACCTTACAATCATTCCATACACCAAATATATATTTGACCTATTGCTTATACATGTAGTATACAAGAAACAGACAATACCACTAAAAATTAACATTGACTAATGAACCATAAAAATAAAGTCAAGGTCAGATGAACCCTGTCAGACAGACATATACACCCTACAATCATTTCATCGACCATATATAGTTGACCTGTTTCTTATAGTAGCTTAGAAGAGGACCTAACTACTGAAAATGAACATTGACCAATGAACCATGGAAATGAGGTCAAGGACAGATATTACCTGTCAGACAGGCATGTACACCTTACAATCATTCCATACAATAAATATAGTTGACCTATAGCTTATAGTATCTTAGAAGAGGACCTAACTACTGAAACTTAACATCGAACAATAAACTGTGAAAATGAGGTAAAATAAAACTTGCTAGACAGACATTTACACCTTACAATCATTCCTTACACCAAATATAGTTGACCTGCTGCCTAAAGTATATGAAAAACAGACCAAAACGAAAAAAATAAACATTGACCAATGAACCATGAAAATGAGATCAAGGTAAGATGAAACCTGCCAGACAGACATGTACACCTTACAATCAATCCATACACCAAATATAGTTGACCTACTGCTTACAGTATCTGAGAAACAGACCTTACCATGTACTTTTAACCTTGATCACTGATCCATGAAATAAGATTGAGGTCAGAATAACCCTTTCTATTGGACATGTAGGCCTTTCAAGGAACCCATATACCAAATACAGCTATCCTGTTACTCATGATTAGTGAGAAATTCACATGACAAAACAACTAAACTTTTTTTCAAGCAGTCACTGAACCATGAAAATGAGGTAAAAGACAATGGACATATGAGATATGACAGACAGAAACTTCGTCACATAAGACATCTGTATATAAGGTATGAATCCTCCAGATCTTTTACCCTCTCAAATATAAAGCTTAATACAAACATTTTACGCCACTGCCGGATTCTAATCCCTGTGTCTCTACTTTCTTTGCAGGTGAGACAATAAAAACTGTTTTTTTGGAGTGTTACACAACTAATAATTGACCAAATTTACCTTTAAGCCATCTTCTGGATGTTCTTTCAATACCCATTCAGCATATTCAAATATTAATTTTAAGTGATCAGCACCTACAAATACAAATAAATACAGTGTTAGAAGTTCCAGGATAATAGAATTAAAAGAATGATATAATCATGTTCATGTTTAAAATGCTACATAGCAGTATAGTTGAATAAAACATATTGGATAATAAATAGAGAATGTGTCTATGGGCCACAGATGCTCCCGCTTGTAAATATGCATGAGTCAACTTCCATATACAGATGCAGGATTCACATAGTTAAGGACTGTTTTGAGATTATAAGCATTGTGTATAACTTTCATAACATTTGGTTGAGGCAAACTAACTTAGAGAACAGAAAAGAAAAATTCAGCAATTTTTATGTTTATAAAGGGCATAACTCATGAATGGTAAAAGTGACGCAACTCAATTTTGAAATTGATTTGTGTTTTGTGGTAATAAGCATTGTGCATAAGTTTTGTAACATTTGGTTGAGGCAAACTAAAGTTAGAAAATGGAAACCAATTTTGGGGACGTACGCGACAGACAGGACGGACGGATAAGGGTAACACTTAATGCCCCCTCTGCTACGGCGGGGGCATAACAAAATGTAAACCAATTCAGATGAAGATATTCCTGTGTTCAAAATTTTGATTGTTGCTGACAGATTATTCTTCCTGGGGATTTAAAGGGAAAATTTAACCACCAAAGTGGAATGTTTTATATTATGGGTGGCTGTGCCTTGTGGTCTAATAAAAGTGCCTTATTTCATTGGTTGGAGACAAAAGAATATAAGAGGTATTTTAGTTCTACATAAAAATAATCATGTTATTCAATATTTTTTTTTATTAAAAGTATGTAGTACAATGCATGGCAAGGTACATACAACTAAAGATATTGGTTTAGGCCAAAAAAAAATATATGTCTGTTTACGGTTACCCTACCGACCCTACTTTTGAGCGCCGACCCTAAGTCATTTTATTTCCGTCGTAAAGTGAAAAATAAACTGAACTCGTGTCAAAAGCGAAGTTAGTGTTGTAAATGATATAAATCAATTGCTTGATACATCCCAATGTTCACAATCGTGAATATGACAGCTGTTTTAAGGAAATTCGCAACTTGTGTGATGAAATAAACATTTTGCCGCCATTTTTTTCCAAGGGAAATAATCCAATCATCAAAAAAACGGGTAAACTCGGCCCATGATCAACTCAGACCACGACAAGTTGAAACGGCATGACTCAAAATCATGTCACAAAAAATAAAATGGAAATACCGACCTACCTACCCTATTTTTTTAAAGTATGTAACCTTAAACAGACATATATTTTTTTTTGGCCTTACTATGAATTTTAATATTTGCTTGTTTTGTAGAGGACAAATTTCTAATTCTTTTAATCCTCTCTGTAATTGAAGTAATGCACATCTCACATGCAAGATTCTTCAGAGCTTTTTCTATTTTCAAAATTTGAAAAAAAAACATACCATATCAAATTGAAAACAAACGAAACTGCACATTTATTGAGAGAAAATATTTTTATTTCAAATTATCAAAATATTAGTACTTGGAGGGACAAATAAAACATGTACTATCATAACTAATTTTTCACCTGTAGGAATGGTAAAGAAATTTATTATTAGTTAAAGTGACCTTCATCTTGGATTAAATGACCCTCAAAACCAATAGGCTACTTCCCCTTCACTATATCTTCCATTTGTACCAGTTTCATTCCAATTAATCGAGGAAAACTCAACTTACCATCTGGAGTTTTTTCCATTTTTGTTCTGTTTTAAAGAAACAGTTACCGTGACCATAGACCTATTGACCCAAAAATTGATAAGCTTCTTTCCATTCTTTTTATATTCAATCTGTTTATGCTTCATTTCCAAAATTATTCCTTTTAGAGTAACAATGACCTTGATCTATGACCCTAAAATCAATAGGCTTCTTCTGCCTCTATACATCTTCCATCTGTTTAATTTACATTCCTATCAAGGAGGCGCCTCACACCACTAATTCTTGGCCCCATTGCTTTCTATGTAAATTCTTCAATTTCAAGAATTCATAGCTCTTTTGTCTTAAGTTCAAATAAAGTGAATTTCATTTTATGTCAAAGCACTACCTTAGCTTACATTTTACTGGAAAAAATCGACATACCTTTAACTGCATATAAGAGCGTAGTGTTCCCCGTAACTTAGGAAGTACCAAAACAGTTACTTCAGATCTGAGTAACAGGCAAAATGTATCTTCCTTTTTAAATTTCATCTTTTTTATTATTATTCAAAATTATTACTAAAAAAAGTGTTCTACAATGATCACTAGTCATTCGGCTTTCATTTGATATCAAAATTACCTAATCAATCTACATATTTATTACCTAAATGCTGTAAATATTGCACTGTCCTGTCATGGCCTTTGAGAGGAGAGTTAGGTCTGGCAGCTTGTTTCATCAATAAATGTAAAGCTAAAATAGAAATAAAAATTGTTGATTTCTACGTTTCAATATACCAATTCATTTCAGATTTTATGTTGCTGATTCATATTTGATTCATCATTGTGCATTTCTAAATCACTGTATTTATGTTTTATCTCACTTATGATTGGAATAGACATAACAACACTGCTATTTTGAAGAAAAAATTTAGTTTGAAAAGGTCAATCTCTGGCATTGCTAAAAGTTACTGTAAATTCAGAAATTATTGATCTGCATTTCTCACTTTTTTGTTGTGTGCATTTATTATTGTGATTTTTGAAGAAAGGACAAAAATGTGAGATTAATGATTGTGATTTCAGAAAAATCTACATACACATATCCATATCAGATATCAGAATGCAAGTTCTTATTATTGCAGTACTCACCAAGTCACATTATTCGCTTTAATAAAAACCTTGCAATAATTTCTGAATTTACAGTACTTGAAAATTGTCTGCCTCCAATAACAAGACTTGTAATAGAAAAGGTGTGTATAATGACAAAAGTGATGAAGAGATGGTTGATGTGCCTATATTTCTCAAAATTTACAGCTCCTCCCTTCAAAGGATTGCTATTTTAAATTTCTGATAGTTTACCATATTCAAATATGCAAATAGTCAATTTTAAATTAGGTGATAAGGTAGGATTGGTAGTGAGGCAGTCATTTAACAAATATATATATGAGTAAATAGTTCAGTTTATGACCTCCAACAATTTAAAAATAATGTATGGCAAGTTCTAAATGCCATAAATAAGAGTGAAACAGTTAAATCAAATATTTTTAATAAGTTAAATATAATAAACAAGAAATAAACAGCAATACAAAATAAACACAGGTATAAGCTTATAAACAGATAAGCAACCAACAATCAATCAATATAAACAGATGAATAACATTTCAGAGTGTGAGCTAAACAAAATTAATGAATTAATGGTAATATTTGACAATTGCACAACCTACAATTGATATTCTGATATTCACTTAAGAATTTTCATCCATAATGAATTCAAATTAATTTCAATTACCCTTTTCGTGAAGTCCTTTCTTTTCATAGAGAATGATAAGTTCACTGAATTTTTCTTTTTTCTTGAGTATTTTTTCACACTCATCCACGTGGCAGCAATTGTCTTTCAATCTTAACAAAGGTGCCACCAAAGCATCATTTGTCTGTAAATAAAAAAATAACAATTGATAATTTGATCTTCAAATACAATATACTAGTCTACCATCATTGAAAAACGAGGGCACATTTTAAAGATGCAGAAATTTTGCCCTGCAACAAACAGGTCACTTATGCACCCATAAAAACTGTTAGTACTAGTTCAGAGGAAAATGGACGCCACACTAAACTCCGAAACATATAAATGAACCAAAATTTAAAAAACCATACAAGACTTACAAAGGCCAGAGGTTCCTGACTTGGAACAGGCACATTTGTCTTACATATTCAACATCTTATAAAAAATAAATGCATGAAAAAAGTAAAACCCCGAGCAGTAATTTAGTTTTACCACTTGATATCCTCTAAAATGGCTTGGTATAAATCAAATAGAATGGACCATTTGCAAGTAAATTGATTCACTTATCAGTTACTATGATTTCAAACCTGATTTAGCATAAAGCAACATTTTACGATTAGTTGCTTTGCTTTGATAAATCTTGAAACAGTACTATGGCATTGTTATCATGAAATGTGTTAGTGTACTGTGACTTTGTTTTCATGAAATATGAAAAGTGTACTGTGACATTATTTTTACATGAAATATAAAGTGTACTGTGACTTTGTTTTTGTGAAATATAAAAGTGTACTGTGACATTATTTTTTTATGAAATATTAAAAGTGTACTAAAGGGGATTAAGGGAGTTAACTCTTTAAAAACCAGCTGAACATTTTAATCACATACTATAAGTAAAGAGAAATCAAGCCTCTCAATGATCAAAATTAGTGCTTGTCAAACTGCCCTATAAATCCAAAGAAATTATTCCTGTCAATTGTGTGGTTCAAATTTCTATATTTTTGTCAACAGGTTAAAGTAAATATTCTGTCAGAATTTTATGAACGTTAAATGAGCTAAATCTATTTTAGTCAAAGTGTTGGGTACCCCCTTAAAAACTGTACTTACCTGAATGTAGCATTTCAGTAAAGTTGTATCAATGATTTGACTCAGTTGTTTCTTAGATTTGATTGTAGTGTTGCCTTCTTTTATAGCAATAGTACTCAGTTCTTTGTTTGATTCTTTTGAAATGTCACTAAGTAGTTCATTCCTTTTCTGTAATCATTCAAATTTAGTAAGTAAGAGTGAACAAATGTATCATAAGACAGAATGCATTGCCTTCACTTAATAAAATAAACTGTTAACACAGAGATATGTCTCACCTATTTGTTATTTTGATAATGCAAATGTTGAAATTAAAATAGCAATACTTTAACATGTAAGTTATGCAAATATTCAAAGTCAATGAACCATGACTAAAGGTACAGGGCTAAACAATCTCCATGGAAATGAGATGTGCCAATGCTAATACAACTGCAAACAAAATACCATTGACTTTTCATAAGTCGTTCCCTTTAAACAAACCTAAACACAAACATTAACTTGTAAAATATGTTAAAAGTTTCAAAGTCAATGAACCATAATTAGGGGGTGGGGTTATATAACCTCCATGGAAATGAAACTTGCAAAATGCCAATATATTTGCATACCGAATATCATTGACTTAACATTAGTGGTTCATCTTAAACTGACCTAATCACAAACTAATACATGTAAACAAAGCAAAAGTTTCAAAGTCAATAGACCATGACTGAGGGGTAAGGACCAAATATTCTCCATGGAAATGAGATGTGCCAATGGTAATACAACTGCATACCAAATATCATTGACCTACCACTAGTGGTTCACCATGAACTAGACCTAATCACAAACTAATACATTGTTGACATCGCCGCCGATGCCGGAAACAGCATACCTATGTCTCGCTTTTTGACTCCGTCAAGGCGAGACAAAAACTACAGGAATGTCATCAAGAATTGTCAGATTAAATGAAAATATATAAGAATGGAAACAAGACAAGAATATTAAAGAAATTACTTTCTTATGACCTAAAACATGAAGTAATTGTTTAGACTTTTTTCACACAGATCATCTATTATATTTGTTTTATAAATTTGCTTCATATTGAAATTGAAGGCTGTTTTATGAGGCTGTTTATCTTTAAGATTTTTTAGGAAAAAAGTTAATTTTCTAAAATTTGGTCAATTATTACAAAAATATGAACATGAGTAATCTATGGTTCATCAAATAAAATACATGGCCATTGTCTGAAATTTAACGATATGAAAATAGTCATAAATGACCAAACTTAAATCAGCACATGAAAACTAAAATGAATTATTGAATAGTCAATGAAACAAAAATTCAGTAGACCTACTTATTTCACACATTGTTAATTTGTTCAAATCCTTATTATGCATGAACTATTTGCAACTGGACATTAAGTAAACAATAAGTAATCAATCTTAATCAAATACATAAGAATGCATGACAGGATTATAATATTTTTAATGTTCCTTAGATATGAGTATAGACTGGCAAATGAAAGAAAATGGTACTGCAATAGTTCCCTTTAAGGTCACTAAGATAAACTATAAATATATGTAGAGTAGATTATGGTGAATTCATTCCCTAAAAAGTCTGTGTGTTTCTTTGACCTAATGCTAGGGTTAATATTATGTACAATGTACTGAATTTGACTTTTTGTTCAATGATTTACAGTAAAAAGAATAAAATCATCTTGCTTGATTTGAGAAATTCTTTTACATGAAAAACGAAAAATACAATTTGCATATGCATTGCCTGTAAAGCTGTTTCAAATCAAATCTGCAAATTTAAAGGACTGACAGTAAAGAGAAACCCTGAAAATATTTGTTATCTATTATAGCCAGTTTAGCTACAGGAAACAAATAATTACTCAAACTGTGAGAAAAATTAATACTTATTTCAAATCATTTATAAATCTTATTAGAATACATGAATATTAAAACAAGAATTCATCAGTTGTCTTGCTAACCATACCCAACTCGTAATTCAAAGTACTGTAAATTCAGAAATTATTGCAAGGTTTTTATTAATACGAAATAATGTGACTGAGTGAGTATCGTAATAAAAAGAACTTGCATTCTGATATCTGATACATATATCTGTATGCAGCTATTTCCTGAAATCAAAATAATTAATCTCGCATTTTTGTTCATTCTTAAAAAATTGCAATAATAAATGAACGCAATAATTTCTGAATTCACAGTATCTGATAACAGGAAGTAAACTCTGACAGATTCAAAATGTGCTAATATTTACAACTCATCATTGTCAAGTTGCTGCCAAATATGAAGTAATTGTGTTTTACCTGAGAAATGTGTGACAAAAATATTTGTCGGACAGACAGACTAATAATCGACAAACAAAGTGAATGCAATTGCCCCTGCTCCCACGTGGGGTTATAATATGTTTATTAATTTACTTGAGTGAGGTAATCCTGCAGTGCTGATAAAGCTTTTTCTAACTCCCCTCCTTCTAAATCTGGAAGTTTTTTAGGATATTCTAACTGTTTCCTGAATTCCTGAGGTAACAAGTTGGGATACAGTCCAATAACATGTGACGGATCTAAAGTAAAGCAACATTAGTTATTGTTATTACATTGGTTGCAATAAAGGACCAGGATTTCCCATACAAAATAAAACAGAAATTTAACATGTGAAAATAAATCTTGCATTTTTCTCTCCTCTGACATCATACAACAAAAGGTGTTGTCAAGGAAGCTGCATCAAAACAAAGTGAAAACTCCTAGAAAAGATAAAGTCCCTTGCATTTTTAGCTTTATTTACACACAAAGTCGATGTAATAAAAAGAATAACTTATCTAAGATTTCAATATAAAAAAAATATTCATCTTTTTACTGCACAACACTGATAATTCACACATGTGCCACACACATTCCTGAAATAATGTATTGTCTGGTCACTTGTGGAATATTCAACATTCAAATTCATGAACTCCCTCATTCTTAAACAGTTTTGAATCTAATGTTTGGCACCAATATAGAATCAGGACACTGAATTTCTCAGTATAAATACAGACAAAGTACCAGAGACATCATCAGAACAGGTCAGTTATTTTTGTAAAACAAGAAGAATTTTTTTTTGTCAAAGAGTTTCGTTTTTTACAAAATCAAATTCTATGTCATATGTATCCTATTTATGATAAAATAATTATACATATATGTGCTTTTAGCAATCTCCTTGTAAAAATTCAATATTTACCATTAAATAAGGTGGCACATTACTGTTATTACACATATTTTTAAACGTACACATGTATTTTCATGTTATACAAAATTATTAGAATTCTATAGTTTTTTATAGATTGGTGCTTCAGTTTTAGATTCAGATTTCTGTTGAAGCTAATCTTTTATCAAAATTGCTTGATTGTGACCTTTGGCAGAAAAAGGTCATTGTTTTTCAAAGCAGAAGCAGGATGCAAGAAACCATAAAGATATAGTCCCTTGCATTTTTAGCCTTATTTACACACAAAGTTGATGTAATAAATAGAATAACTTAACTAATATTTCAATTTAAAAAAAAAAATAATTTTTTACCAAACAACACTGATAATTCACACATGTACACTATATGAATAAGGCAAAATGTATATGTTCACCTGTAACTTGTACATTAGTTGACTGATTGTGGAATAAAACAAAATATTGCCGTATATTTCATTCTGTATTACCTGTGCCAAGTTTAACAAATATGTGCATTGATTCTTCAAATCTATGTTGACAAAACAAATCAAAGGCATACAAATTCTTTATACTATGTATTCTCTTCTGTTTTTCTTCATCCTGATCTTCTGTCATTTCCTAAATACAAAATTATATTATTAGATCAACAATTTACATTACTTTTTGTTTCCAGTTTCTTTTATAAAACTAAACTAGAAACAGTAAAATTAACATGAGGTAACACCTTTCAGTCTATTGTTTGAAATAGTTTTTAAATTTTTGCTAGCCATGTAGTGACAGACATGCTACAAGAGACCCAGTGAAGCACTTTCAAAAAGGGTTGACCACCTATAGAGGCAAATTCAGAATTTTACTTAGATTTCACTTTACTTGACATCCACCAATAGTGGAAAGTGCCTTCCCTGTGTCCCATGTATGTGTTTATTGAACAGCCCTAAGGTAAAGAGATCGCGATCTGACAAAATTTTATATTCTTCAAGAATTCTGTTAGATACTTACAGCTAAACGTAAAGCCAGTTCAAATTCATGGTTTTCTAACAACTGTCTTATCTGATAAGATATTGGCATTGGACAAATCCTCCATATAAAATTTATAGAAGCTACATAAATGCTACCACTGAAAAAAAAAATTTCCATCAAAAGGATATGCATTATTATTTTCTGGGAAGAAAAATTGCTTTGAACTATTCAGTAAAAATTTGGCCATCTAAAAATCTATGTATTTTTCTATCATAAGTTTTTTTATCTCAATTAAATTATTTCTGAACAGTGAATATGAATTTCATTTAAAATGAATTTTATGGTTTTCACAGATCAATGCCTATTTATATGTTGGTTTTTTTATTGTTTTTTTTTATAACATTGCTAATATTTGATCATGTATAAATTTTTTAACATTAGCAGTACATCAAAGTATTCATTATTTCCACTTTTATTCAATTGTTTCAAACACAAAGTACTGATGGCACATGCAGTAGAATAGTTACCTCCCTTGGCATATAAATTTTGCATGTTGCAGTTCCTTCTGTTGTATTAACAATTTAGTCTCTATAGTTCTAACTTCAATAAACTTTGGAAGAATGCCAATTATATATGGAGGATTGTTTTCTGTAAAAAAAAAAATCAATATTTTATTACTTTAGTATGAAGGTCATAGATTTTAATCAAAGCTTTGAAGATTCAACTGTTTCAAGTAGATTAATATCATACCGCACTCGATGTAGTGGTAGAATCTATAGTTCTACAATAGAATAACTTAGTTTGTCTGTTTGGTCATGGCATTGTCTGTTTATCTTCAACTTATGTTTTTTCATTATCCCCAATGGTATAGTGAGCATTTGGTTTAGTACAGTTTTATGGACTTTCCCCTTTTTGAATTGACCTTGTAGTTTGGTATTTTTGTTAACACATTTTTCTTCTCTCCTTTTATTAATTTTTTTTTTGTTACATTCAAAGCATTTCTCTGTTAAGTTTAACTTGTCTTCATTGTACCATTTCTTGTCCATACATCCATCTGATGATATTTAAATTATTTATACTGATATTATTGTCCAGTTCAAAATATAAGTGTGTAAATTTACTATGAGTGTATGTACATTGATATTGAACAATCTATATTGATATTAACCTATTTGTGTTGGAATTCCACTCCAGTTAATAGGATTTTTCTGTGTCGGCTGGCCTTCAGAGTCTATTAGTATTGACATGTTATCACGTCCTAACATTAATCTATCATTTGCTACTTTAGTTATCACAGGTTCATGTTGAGTGTTGCCAAGGGGAAATAACTCCTTGATATCGCCTGAGTTTATCTACAATAGCATTATAATACTCAGATTGCAGCTTTGTTATCAATTTTTATTTTAAACAATTAACGTAACAAAATAGCTTCTTTTCTCACATGAAAAAAAAATGATAGAACCACGTTTATAATTTAGTCATGAGCTATGTGTATTTATCAATGTACTGTACAGTTACTTATGTATTTTTTTATATTTTCAAAACTGCATGCTTTTTTGTTCTAACCAAGTCATAACATCTTTTTGACCTCCTATTTATTGATGAAAACATTACACATCAAAAGAGTGATGTGAATTTAAGTACCAGAGACTCATTTCACAAATTATCTTACGAGAAAAAATGTGCAAGTCATGAACATTTCAGTATACCTTATGATAAACTTTTGTCGTAAGATTTTTTGTCAAAAAAAGAGCCACAGGGTCTTAGACTTTCAGTTTTTTTTTAAATGACATTGGTTTGTCTTTTTGTATTCATGTAACAACACATTTTTCTGTTTCAGTTCTATGTGAAACATATTTTCCTATTGCTTGTAAACAGAATGTTCCTGTAGTTGTTAAGTATATTGTTTTTTTTCCCTGAACATTATAGAACAACAATAAAAATGTTTACAACTTATAAACAAAGTTATCATTACTTTCCAGCATTCACAAGAATTTTCAAATGACAGTTGATTGGAAAGAATCTTCTTGCATACATCTGAGAACAGTATATCTAACGGAAAATGAATCTGATAGGCTTTTCAGTATAAAATTGATAAAATCTCGGACTTTACAAGACCTCGCGAGATTTATGGATTTTGGCAGCATCTGACTGAAAAATTATCAGAACTGTAAAAAAGTAAGTGTGATTTATTTGATGTGAAGTGTTTTATAATGGATTGTGAATTTGGGAATGCAATCGGCCCCATTTTTTTAATACCCTGTTTGCATTCTGTACCCTTCTGTGATGAAATGAATGCGATCATAACAAATTTGAAGTGACAGATTACAAGTTCGATACACTGGCATCACTTTAAAACTTAGTTTGATTGACATTTTATTGATATTATCAGAAATTATTAGGATAATAGCGAGTACATTTTTAACACATGTCCGTTTCCGTATCGTATCTTTATTAACTATGACCCGACGATGAAATTGGCTACAATTAGGTAGTGTCAAGTCCCGTCAATATATATGTTCCTGTGTACATATAAAGTGGGGAAAATGAAAATAACAATATTTAGACTTGTCTTTTTTCATCAAAGAATATAAGCCAGTTGTTAATTTTTCATTGACAGTGTCTGAAATTGGCTTTCTATTCTATATATGGAAATTATCCAAAAGCATTAACTAAAAGACTGTCTACTTTTAGGTTGAAAACATTACCCACTTACTTTAACTAGAAAATAATCTCTTCTAAATCCAACACATATAGATTCTTTACACCAACACATACATCTAGGTATATCATATAAGTTCATCTCAGTCTGAAAAATGAGAAAAATGTTGTTATCTGAATTTTCTTTTGAATGATCAATTTTTCGTATGTTTTTTCATAATAAAATATTCTGAAAGATGGTTATATTGTAACACTGATTTGGGATCTAAGAAACTGTATCGGTTGAATGTAATGTGTGTTGCAGGGAGAATGTTTCAGTTCTGGTCAGAATGGCATAAAGGTTTATCAGTTGCTATAACTCCAATCACCTTACCATGCAATTAACATTTTGATGTTCTTTATCCAAATCTGTTGTATGCTGGTTTTGTTATAGTTAAGTGATCTGATCTTTTAATGAAGGCTGTGAACTGACATGTTTTTTTTTTAAACATAAGGTCTGGAAAGATGAGAAGTGTTTTGATGCCTACAGAATGGACTTACATTACAATAGCTTGTGCCTGTTAACTCTATATTGACTCTTCTACTTGACTTTTTGGGGTAGTTGGTGGTTTTTATGTGACATCATGTGCAGTATTTGTTTTTTTTATTGTATCTACTGATATTATTTTTAAAAATATATCGCTTGAAATATTTAACAGTGACTTACCAGATCTTGAAAATTCCTGTTTTTCCAGAAGCTCACCTATCAAGATATTTCAGAATTAATCATAATAACATAAAGCTACTATCAATCATAGTTTCATTTTGTATATTGTTGGTATTACATTTTAATCAAATAAGGCAACTTTTTTGGCTCCTTGAATTCATATATAAAAAAGTATCATAAATCTACCGATTAACATCCTTCAGATGTTCAAGACATTAATCTATCAGATATCAGTTATCATATTTTTGTATTGTGTCTTAAGTGTTTGCATTAAGGCTTCAAATCTTGCATTTCAGGATAAACTGCAAAAACTGCCAAATTTTGAGATCTTGCCAAGGCCTTAATCAAACAGATATTTTGCTACAAGCTGTCTTACACAAAGATGTTAATATGTCTGCCATCATGACAATACACATAAACATCATTTCAGTATAATAATGTTATATTCACTGCAGATGTAATAAAAAGTTACCATACAAATTCATCATAGTACTTCATGCAGTGGAACATTGTTTCAAACAAGAGTGCACACGCTGAAATGTCTCGCCTGCTTTATTGACCATTGATTTTATATTAAAACAAGAGTGCACACGCTGAAATGTCTCGCCTTCTTTACTGATCATTGATATTATGTTGATAGACCTAAATATAAAACTTTATTACAACTGTCACATAAACTTAACAATAACCAAGTAAACTAAACATTGACCAATGAACCATGAAAATGAGGTCAAGGTCAGATGAACCATGCTAGGCAGGCATGAACAGCTAACAATTCTTCCATACAACAAATATAGTTGACCTATTGCTCATAGTTTAAGAAAAACAGACAAAAACACCAAAAACTTAACACTGAGCAATGAACCTTGATAATGAGGTCAAGGTCAAATAAAACCTGCGTGACTGACATATAGATCATAAATTATTTCCATACACCAAATATAGTTGAACTATTGCGTATAGTATTAGAAAAATAGACCAAAACTCAAAAACTTAACTTTGACCACTAAACCATGAAAATGAGGTCAAGGTCAGATGACACCTACCAGCTAGACATGTACACCTTACAATCATTCCATACACCAAATATAGTAGACCTATTGCGTATAGTATTAGAAAAAAAGACCAAAACTCAAAAACTTAACTTTGACCACTGAACCATGAAAATGAGGTCAAGGTCAGATGACAGCTGCCAGCTAGACATGTACACCTTACAATCATTCCATACACCAAATATAGTAGACCTATTGCATACAGTATTAGAAAAAAAGACCAAAACTCAAAAATTTAACTTTGACCACTGAACCATGAAAATGAGGTCAAGGTCAGATGACACCTGCCAGCTAGACATGTACACCTTACGATCATTCCATACACCAAATATAGTAGACCTATTGCGTATAGTATTAGAAAAAAAGACCAAAACTCAAAAACTTAACTTTGACCACTGAACCATGAAAATGAGGTCAAGGTCAGATGACACCTGCCAGCTAGACATGTACACCTTACAATCATTCCATACACCAAATATAGTAGACCTATTGCATACAGTATTAGAAAAAAAGACCAAAACTCAAAAACTTAACTTTGACCACTGAACCATGAAAATGTGGTCAAGGTCAGATGACACCTGCCAGCTAGACATGTACACCTTTCAATCATTCCATACACCAAATATAGTAGACCTATTGCGTATAGTATTAGAAAAAAAGACCAAAACTCAAAAACTTAACTTTGACCACTGAACCATGAAAATGAGGTCAAGGTCAGATGACACCTGCCAGCTAGACATGTACACCTTACAATCATTCCATACACCAAATATAGTAGACCTATTGCATACAGTATTAGAAAAAAAGACCAAAACTCAAAAACTTAACTTTGACCACTGAACCATGAAAATGAGATCAAGGTCAGATGACACCTGCCAGCTAGACATGTACACCTTACAATCATTCCATACACCAAATATAGTAGACCTATTGCATACAGTATAAGAAAAACAGACCAAAACACAAAAACTTAACTATAACCACTAAACCATGAAAATGAGGTCAAGGTCAGATGACACCTGCCAGTTGGACATGTACACCTTACAGTCCTTCAATACACCGAATATACGAGACCTATTGCTTATAGTATCTGAGATATGGACTTGACTACCAAAACTTAACCTTGTTCACTGAAATGAGGTCGAGGTCAAGTGAAAACTGTCTGACGGGCATGAGGACCTTGCAAGGTACGCACATACCAAATATAGTTATCCTATTACTTATAATAAGAGAGAATTTAACATACCAAAAAACTTAACTTTTTTTTCAAGTAGTCACTGAACCATGAAAATGAGGTCAAGGACATTGGACATGTGACTGACGGAAACTTCGTAACATGAGGCATCCATATACAAAGTATGAAGCATCCAGATCTTCCACCTTCTAAAATATAAAGCTTTTAAGAAGTTAGCTAATGCCGCTGCCGCCGCCGCCGGATCACTATCCCTATGTTGAGCTTTCTGCGACAAAAGTCGCAGGCTCGACAAAAATTAAAGATAAAGGTTTTACAAAAAGGATCACTTAAACTAATTTTACTTTACATTTTTAAAGATCCATGACAATGAAGTCAAGGTCAGATAAATCCTGTCAGACAGACATATACACGTTACAATTTTTTTATACATTAAATATAGTGGACCCACTGTTCATGGTAATTGAAAAACAGACTAAAACATAAAAAACTTAACATTGACCAATTAAAGAACCTTAGTGAGCACGCTCACATACCCCACGTCCTCACATTGTCATTGGAGAAATAAAATATGTGTAAGAAAAAAAAATTGAATCATAATTTCCTGTCAATATGCACATCTACATAGTATGTCCTTATTATCTACAAAGTTTCATGAAATTATGTTATGTGGTTTCAGAGGAGTTGCGATGAAAAACTGTTGCAGAAGACATTGAAGCAAATAAGTTCAAAGGGGCGTAACTCCTAGAAAAAATATTGAATCATAATTTCCTGTCGATATGCACATCTACATAGTATGACCTTATTATCTACAAAGTTTCATGAAATTCTGTTGTGTGGTTTCAGAGGAGTTGTGATGACAAACTGTTGCAGTAGTACATTGAAGCAAATAAGTTCAAAGGGGTTTAACTCCTAGAAAAAAAATTGAACCGTAATTTCCTGTCGATATGCACATCTACATAGTATGTCCTTATTATCTAAAAAGGTTTCATGAAATTCTGTTGTGTGGTATCAGAGGAGTTGCGATGACAAACTGTTGCAGTAGTACATTAAAGTAAATAAGTTCAAAGGGGCGTAACTCCTAGAAAAAAAATTGAACCGTAATTTCCTGTTGATATGCACATTTACATAGTATGTCCTTATTATCTAAAAAGGTTTCATGAAATTCTGTTGTGTGGTATCAGAGGAGTTGTGATGACAAACTGTTGCAGGAGTACATTGAAGCAAATAAGTTCAAAGGGGTGTAACTCCTAGAAAAAAAATTGAACCGTAATTTCCTGTTGATATGCACATTAACATAGTATGTCCTTATTATCTACAAAGGTTTCATGAAATTCTGTTGTGGTATATCAGAGGAGTTGCGATGACAAACTGTTGCAGTAGTACATTAAAGTAAATAAGTTCAAAGGGGCGTAACTCCTAGAAAAAAAATTGAATCGCAATTTCCTGTCGATATGCACAACTACATAGTATATCCTTATTATCTAAAAAGGGTTTGTGAAATTCTGTTGTGTGGTTTGAGAGGAGATGACAAGAAACAGGACTGACGGACTGACGGACGGACAGACGGACAGACGGACGGACGGACGGGTCAAAAACATTATACCCTCCGCAACTCGTTGCGTGGGGTATAATAAATCATGAAATTAAGGTCAAGGTCAGATTATATATATACCTGCCAGACAGATATGTTCACCTTACAATTATTCCATAAGGTGCAATCAACAGTTTTTTCTATGACGTCATATTTTGAGGGACCATGCATAAGTGACCCTTAGTGGTGGTATTGTTAATAAAGATACTTGTATAAAACTAGATATCACTGGAATCAGAATTTTCTCTAGTTCATAATGAAATAAAAATAAAGTGTAATTTTACCATAATAAAAAAAAGTTTATTAGTTATCCTAATACTCATAATAAGTGAGAAATTCACATGACAAAAAAAAATTAATTTTTTTTTCAAATAGTCGCTGAACCATGAAAATGAGGTCAAGGACAATGGACATATGACAGACGTAAACTGCGTAACATAAGTTATCTGCATCCAAGATATGAAGCATTCATGTCTTCTACCTTCTGAAATAAAAAGCTTTATACAAGTAGTTTAAATAGCCCCTATCGCTGTCGCTGGATAGTAATACCTGTCTCGCATATAGCAACTTTCAACTCTGGCTAGAAAAAAATCATGTTTTCATCATGTTAACATGTTCTTACTATTTTGAAAGTTTTGTCATACAATAAAAGAGTTTAAAATTATGAAATAACCATACACTTCATATGCTTGATATTCCTTTTTGTGGAATATGCTTCTAATTTCAAAAGGTTGAATAGTTGAATTTAAAAGGCTATTTAAAGACATACTTGCAGTTTTCTTTTGACAGAGACACACATTCTCAACACATGATTTTCTTCTCCACTTAAACTCTTTTGAGTCTGTAAAAGGAAATAGTAAATACCATATACACAGTCTGGCAGACAGGGTCAAATCAAGGAGACTTAACTCTTGGCTAAAAGTCCCACAGGCTGTCAAATTGTAGGATATAAAATTAATTCATTCCTTGTCTTGTACTTAAAAATAATAATCACATCCAATTGAATATTTATAAACAATATTCTAAAGTATTTATAACTTAATTTCTGTATTTTTATGCATAAGATGTTGGGAATTTTTTTTTCTACCTTGGCATACATATATGGTACATAAATGAATGGTAATCAAGCAGGGAAGTTAAGGTTCCCTTAAATTATTTTTAGCTCACTGACATCCGGTCAAAACAAGGGGCTGTTAAAATAACAGCAAACAGATTGGGTTTTCTTACATTAATTAGTGCCATTGTTAAAGATAATAATGGCCATAACTCCTGAACAGCATAAGTGGAAATTATCAAACCCAAACTTAAAATTTGAAAAGAATAGGTTGAAAGGTTCACAAGTTATTCCATGGAAATTACAAATAGCAAAAATGTTCAATCTATCAAGAACCTTAAATTCTGAACAACAAAAATCTTCTTAATCAAACTTAACCTCCATTTTGTCATGAGAAACAACATATCAAAATTAGAAAAGATTAGTTCATCTTTTTTCATTAATTCAGGACATAACTTCAGATTTTTTTCCTGTCAGACAGATACTTGCACCTTACAATCAAATTAGTTGAATTTTAACTATTGGTATCTGAAAAACTGACAATGACGAAAAATAAATGTTGGCCAGTAAAAGTCAGCTGAGCCCTGTCAGACAGACGAGAATATCTTACAATTATTCCATATACCAAATATATAAAACTTATTACTTATATAATAATTGATAAAATTGCCTAATTACAAAAACTTAACATTCACTAATGAGACTGGTAAATCAGGTCAAAGTCAGATGTACCCTTTCAGACAGACATTTATAACGTAAATCATTGTATACATTAACTAGAGGTACTGCAAGCAAAGATTAAAAATTAAAACCAAGTATAGTTGGTAATTCTGTTTTTTATTATAATTTTTTTTTTCATTACTAAGGTGGTACATAACACTACAGGGAGATAACTCTGTAAAAATCAGCTGAACGTTTTAATCACGTTCTATTGTTAAGGAAATATTAAGCTTCTCAATGATCAAAAATAGTGTTTGTCCAACTGATATATGGCCAAAGACCACAATTAATGATCCCGCTTTTCGTTGTCTACGAATATAGTTCCTTTTAATTAGAGTGTATTTTTTCTTATTTTTTTTTCTTTCCCTTCCTCACTCATTTCTTATTTTTTTGGATGGAAATGAAAGAAGAGAGGTGAAATTAACTTTTGGATGTTGTATTTTAACTGATTTTGATATGGAAAGAGTGATTAGGCCAGGTGCAAAAAGGTGATATTTACAGTTTTCGGAACATCTCTTGACTTGTCCATAGGGGTATGGATGTGTATTGGCTAAATTTGTAAGATGCTGGGGAGCGATTTTTCTGAATATTTGATATATGTTTGGACTAGTACTGTACTTTACACACACAAAATATTTGACAAAAAGAATCAGTGCATTTTTTTTAATGAAACAAAACGTTATAAAGAACTAATAGAGAATTTAATTGTGGTCTGTGGCCATATATCCAATGAAATTTTTACAATAAAGTGTGTGGTTCAAGTTTTTTGAAATTTTTCATATTTTTTACAAAGGGTCAAAGTAAATATTTTGTCAAAATTTTATGAAAATTAAACGAGTCAAATTAATTTTAGTCAAGGTGTATGGTACCACCTTAAGGTTTACCAGAGCTTTCTTGTGATGTTATAATCAGCAGCAACCTTGCTGACAATGTGACGTATATTACAAAGTTCCATTTCTCAATGTTAGCAATACAACTACATTTACCACTGTGTATTGAAATTTACCTATACAACTAGTTTATACATGTATCATCTAAATAGAAAAGTTTAATTCTAATAGTCTTTAAATAGAGCAGGTAGATAACTTTTTTTTTTCTTTCATAATTTATACCTGCACATCCAAAGCAAACAAGTTTGCTCCTCTGGTTTTGTTGATACATGTGATGAGGTTAAAGGTCATCAGATCATGGACACTGACTATATTATCTAAAATAAATGGATAGTAAATATGTAGCTTGTAAAATAAACTGAAATTCAAAATATGTTAAATTAAACTGTAAAAGGCCAATTGTGCCTTATTTACATGTTTTGAAATGAATTCTCCACATTCATTAAAAAAAAATAATGCTTGTTTGGTTTATACATATTCAGTTCATCTGTGTTCTGAATTTTGTATACATAATGTGTCTTTTATCTATAATTGTGGTTTAAGGTTCTTTTTGTCATTATTTGTTCTATTGAATCTATTCCCCCTTTTGATATAAGGTTCCTGAATACCCCTTGATATTTCAAACTGGTTTAAATTGTAAAAAGAGTAAAGTAACAATACCTGACAGACTAATTAGAATATGGAGTTGTGGAACAGCAGACAGCTGTAAAAATAATGAAGTAATATTAGATGTAATTAAACTCTTAATTACCAAGAGCCAATTCCAAAGTCTGAACTATAACTTTCAATTGTCAACAGTTCCAATCATGATAATTTAAGATTTTTTCACGTACTTATAATTACATTACATGTATGTTTCATTATAATACGTTATTTTGATTGGCTAACAGCAATCTCGCTTCATTTCAAAATGAAATTTCACATTCCTGATGACACGAGCTTTCACAATAAAATGCACAGGTAAATAAATGAAAAACTCGATAGAAATTGTGTTTTCATGATCCTAGCAAAAAAATGTAATTATAAGTATTGAATGCTTCTTTTAGTAATTTTATAGGGTTGTAAAAGCGTTGACCGTGCTCACATTTTTAGAATGAAGCCCTTCTGCACTTCATACAAAATGTACTTCAGTCAACAATTTTACACCCCAATAAATTTACAAAAAGAAGCATTCAATTCTTAAATATATACTCCTAGTCTTATAGTTGATTTAATTTTTTTGTTCAATATTCTTAAAGTATGTGAAATAACAGACCAAAAATATGGTTCCTTAAACAAAACAAAATCAAATTCTTAACTAATTACAAAATTACTTTAATTTCAAAACCAAATATTTCTTGTCTTCCAAGGAAGAGACATGTTTCCTATCGGTTTAAAAAAATATAAGGCATTGGTCCATTCATGCATAGTTTTTATAAAAATTAAACAAAAGAGTAAACGCCTTTCCTAAAGAGATATTCCATTTCATCTTAAGAGATACAATTGGGAATTATGACAACTTCGTAAAACCTGAGGTTGGAAGTAAACACTTTAAGCACTCTTTAATTGGAACATTTCTGTAATTCTCAGTAGCTGTCTTGCATGTGTAAAGGTCATACACTGTCATTTTCTAACAGCCCCCTGTTTCATCGTAAATTTGATCTTTATAAAAGGAATCCAATTCAGCAGGGAACAGTCACTTTATTTTTGCTGTTCTAAAATGGTTAAATTCAGAATAAGATTAGTTTTTTACCTGTGTTATTGGCTTTTTGGCAAAATTTTTATTTGATCTTTCCAATTGTACATCAAATTTTGATTCACCTGAAATATAAACAAATAACTGTGAACAAACAGTAGAATTCAACCAGAAAAAAGGATTGAAATGTTACAGCCAGCTTATGATATTATTCAAATTTAGATACAAGACTCATGGTCATGGTTGGTTAATATTGAGTGATACATTTCTCAGATTTTAAACAAATGTATGTCACCTAGATCAGATAAAACATCAGAAAGATACCAAAAAATTTAGATCAGCAGTTCAAATTAAACTAAAACAAGCTGTAGATGGTCAATATATTATAAAAAAAAACATTTAAAATTTGAAAAGAGGCAACTCCGTACATTTGTTAACAAATGCAATATACCAAAAAAATTATTGGTTGACTACTAAAAAGTACCAAAAAACATACTTATAAAGTTATGTAAATATTTTAGCAGGCATTTGTAAATAAAATTAATGAATAGAATTATATTCACCAGCTGCTCCAGATTTTCTTCTGATTCTATACTGTAACAAGTGGCTCTCCTTTGTACCAACAAGTAAAATGTCATCTTAAATGAAAAAAGAAAAAAGAAATTTAATTCACTAATTGCTTGTGAAAACTGTTTTATCAAATGTTTTTACTTTCTGGCAACAGACTAAATTATCATCCTTCTTCAAAAACAAATTTGAAAGATTGTTGCCATATTGTGAACGTTAATTCATGCATTGAGATCTTTGTGTGAACGAAACATCAATCCCAGCAAATTTGACAGTTGCCAATTTTTCATTATGAAATTCCACCAACTAGAAGCAATTGAACAACATCTTTTTGTTTTCTCACTGGTTATCAATCCTACATTTCTTTAGTTACAGCTATTTACCTGTGTTATATTGCTAATTCGGTGTCAAAACAAATGAAATCATGCTTACTTCTAAAATATGCAATATTTATATACATATTGACAGTGATACACATGATTAACATTGAAAAATTGCAACCTATTTTCTTACACGTAATCTTAAGTGTGCATGGGCGCATAAAATAGGGATTTCAAACTATCAAAAGGAATTTCGAACTGGTCATCAGAGATTATAGGTAAATACCTTTGACTTACTCACATCTCCTTATTTCATATTACTGAAACTGATGAGATGATTAAATCTGTAAATTTTTCTCCTTTGACACCATCTATGTACATTTAAGCTATGAAGTTTATCAACAGGTTGTTGGTATTCCTATGGGCATCAATTTTGCCCCTTTAATAGCAGACTTGTTCCTGAATTTGTTATGTATGTCCGTTTAAGGCAAAACTCAGTAAATATTTGTCTCAATTCGATCTAATTGATAAATTTAATAACACTTTACCTTGATAATATTTTTGCCTCAATAAATTCTCGAATTATATTGTAAAAATTTATCCATGGGAACTAACTTTAAATAAATCTAATATAAACATCAATGATTGTCCTTTTCTAGATTTGGATATTACAGTTTAAAACAATAAACTCAAAACAAAAATTGACAACAAAAGATAATTTTTCCTCCTTATTATGAATTTTCCATTTTGGACAGTTAAGTTCCTTTGGCGCCTTCTTAGGGTGTATGCATACATTTTTCAACCTTTTCGCTATGCCCTGTCTTACATGACATTTGATATTTAATGAAAATAATCTATTCGAAACTATTTATATTCAATGAACTTTACCTTCCCTGTATGTGTAACTAGTTAATTATTAAGTCAGGGATTTCATCACCATAAATCGCTTACAATTTTTTCTAAATTCTTTCATTGAAGCAAATATTTGGTTTAGAAATTTGGCTTTGCCTACAGAATTCTCATAACAAGCATGATATCACATTCTAATTTTTACGCTATTAGCTTTTGTAAAGCCCATAAACTTATGATCATATATCATTTAATTACTACTTTATCAGGTTTATAGATATTACCCAAAAATAAATAATTGAATGGATTTCTGTATTTTTGTTTGATTCATAGTATGTTTGGGTTGTGAAAAGCTTTTTCAAGTTGTTAAAATGATTTGTCCTTTGCATTTTCATTCAAATTTCTAATGTGCATAGGGCAGGACTAAAAGGGCAGAGGGTGCACAGAACAGGCTGAGAGAGAACAGAAAGGGCAAAGGGGTGATGCGCCCCTTTATTTTGGACAAGATAGGACACTGTAGTACTGGTTGATACTTGTGTCATGGAAAACAGGATTTATTTATTAGTTGTTTTTGGCTTAGAACAACATGTAGCTTTCAATTACTGTGAGTACTCTTAGATTAGTAATTTTTGTCTTTTGTCTTTACGTACATGTAAGTTGATTTTTGTGCTTCTTCCCAATTTGATGGGCTAAGCCATTTTCATCTGATTATTACAGTTTGTTCTGAAGTTGTGCTGTTTCAACACTGTCTCAGGTTAGGGGAGGGTTGAGTAATCACTACATGTACAACTGTAATTAGCTGCAAATAATCTATATTTGTACATTGTTTGCACACCCTGTTTGCCATGGGAATTCAAGAAAAAACCTTTTTGTCACTTGTTGAAAATGAAACTTCAGTAATTTCAATTGGTCTGTGATTTTTTGCTGAATTTTCATGCAAAAACCCTTTTTCCAACATCAAGTAGAAGTTGAAACAGCTTGAAAAAGATTCTAGAACACTTCACTTGTTTTAAAATAAGCCAAAAATCACAACAACAAAAAATTGGAAAAGTTGCGTTTGCCATTATCCATAATAGGAAAAGAAGGTATTAATCGGAAACATTGTGGTGAGAGTGTATATTTCAAAAGAATATGACTTTGAAAGTAAAACAGTGCCATCCTTTAGTAAAATACTGTTATACTTATTCATCAAATTAATGTTTGAAGGACCTTGAGCAGAAACAAAAACACATGCAGCAGTACGATACACCAAATCTGAACTAATAACCAACTACATTTTTGTAGTATATACATTGTTATGTGATGCTATGAAAAGAAAGAAAAAATTTTAATTTAGCATTTAGTTTTGATATTAATCAGTCAATATTGGAATTTTAAATAAGAATTGCATATCAACATGGCATTGTCAATTATTAAAGAGTTTTTGTAAAAGAAAAAGGGTGCTCCCTAAAATTTCAATAATAAACAAAGTGGAACATAAAGAAACATTAGGAAATCTAGTTTTCTCTTATTTTTTGCTTAAAGTACTCTATCTGGCAATTTCAATTTTGGAGTACAAGACTGTGGACAATACACAAAGAATTTGGTTACTTTATTAATTGTTTGATGTCTAAGATTTACTAATTTAGAATCCTTTTTATACTTGAAATCCGCAGCAGTTTGTATGTCATACATTTGTTGATGTGGTTCATAAGTGTTTCTCGTTTCTCGTTTTTTATATAGATCAGATCGTTGGTTTTCCCATTTGAATGGTTTTACACTAGTAATTTTTGGGGCCCTTTATAGCTTACTGTTCGGTGTGAGCCAAGGCTCCATGTTGAAGACCGTACTTTGACCTATAATGGTTTACTTTTATAAATTTTGACTTGGATGGATTGTTGTCTCATTGGCACTCATACCACATCTTCTTATATCTATATATGTTGAAAATCCAAATCTTTGAACTAAAAATGCCATAATTCAAATCATTCAACAACATGGCGGCAATAAATCATCTTTCTGTTTTTGATTTTTTTTTTTAAATCTTAAAGGAGCATAGAAGACCTTGGAAATTTGTCACTGATAACGCCAAAAAGGAGCATATGATTATCCCTGAATTGTTTATTTGATTGCTAAAAAGTATTATTTTAAAAGACAATAAAAAAGATTACATGTACATATCCAATTTAACCTTCTGGGACTCATTGAGGAGCATCTGTTTCATTATATGATCCATCAAAGGTCATGAATATCATCAGACATATTCTTAAAAAATTACTAAAAATAAAAGTTTTCGTCCTTTAGGATATCTAAATTTTGTATTTAACATGAATGTTTGCGTCTAATCCCTTTTGGGATTCTGTGTCCTGGAGTCCGAGTAATTTTCTAATTTGGCCGTCCACTTCAGGACACAGAAGAGTTTTAGCCATCACAACAAATATCTGAAATCAGATTTCAATTTCTATTTATACTGTGAATTTATACCTGATTTTGGATGTAAGCCCATAAATAGAAAAATAATCATTTACTAGGATCTTCCAAAACGGAAGCAAGAGAACTTGTCCACTTATGAAAAAAGATTAATTCCTGATGAATTTAGTCCTGCCAACTCGCCCCACTTACGAAAAAGAGTAAAAACCTGATGAATTTAGTCTTGCCAACTCGCCCCACTTATGAAAAGTCCTAGTAGTTTAATCTACACAATCCCCCCCAACTGTACTGCTAAAATAACAATAGAAAAATGGCAATTCTAATAAAATATCAAATTTATATATGATTCTGATTGAAATTATTTCTTAAAACAAAATTGTAGATATATTATTTATCATTATGGAATTGTTGTATTGATTTGAGAATAACTTTATTTTTGGAAGCTTACTTATTTGCTTAATAATGGCAAAGAAACCAGTTAATTGTATCATAATGCCATATGTTGTTATGATGTAACCTTAAACAGTCATATATTTTTTTGGGCCTAAGATTCATAAGTGGGACAAGTTGGCAGACCTTTATTCATCTCTATTATACTCCTTTTCATAAGCATGATAAGTGGGGCGAGTTAACGCGAATTGGTAGTCCTTTATGCAGTAAGATTCATAAGTGGGGCAAGTTGGCAGACCTTTATTCATCGGGATTATACTCCTTTTCATAAGTGGGACGAGTTGGTAGTCCTTCATGCAGTACGATTTAATTCTTTTTTTCATTAGTGGGGCTAGTTAACAAGACCTTTATTCAATGGGATTAAACTCCTTTTCATAATTGGGGCGAGTTGGTAGTCCTTAATGCAATAAGATTCATATGTGGGGGGAGTTGGCAGACCTTTTTTCATTAAACTTCTTTTTATTAGTGGGACAAGCTGGTATGTAGTCTGTAATGCAGAAAGATTTAATTCTTTTTTTCATAAGTGTGGTGAGTTGGCACATCTTTATTCATTGGAATTAAACTTTTTATTAGTGGGGCAAGTTGGTAGTCCTTAATGCAGTACAATTTTATTCTTTTTTTCATGTGGGGCGGGATGGCAGACCTTTAATTATCGGGATTTTACTCTTTTTTCATAAGTGGTGCGAATTGGCAGGATTCAACAGAATTTTACCCTTTTTCATCAGTGGGGCGAGTTGGTAGAAAATTTGGGCAATTTGGCAATGGGGCGAGTTCTCTCTGATTCTTCTCAAACCTGGCAAGAATTATATGAGAATTATGCTTTGCAAATGGCATGTACCACTCTTATCAAATTCAAAAATCCATCCCTACTGTTGATTGAAAGCTGTAGCAAGCCATTTTAAAAAGTTTTACAAAGATTTATCATAAATCAACTAAACATGTCAAACTGTCAACATAATTGGAACAGGAAATCCCAGGAAATTAATCATGTCCTACCATGGCACGTTATGGATTCGATCTTTAATGGTAGTTTTTCAAGAAGTGATATTGCCTCGTATGCGTCGTGCATCACGACGATTTCTGGCACAAATATACAGTGAGTTTATGACATTTTGTTGTAAAATTCAACTCAAAAATATCTACTGCTACTTTTCATGTGATAATCATTTCTGGTCTCCAACAGAGAAGAGCTCTTTTAATCTGAAATCACTAAAATCCAAATTTAACCATCTTAAACATTGACTACCACGGTCGAAATTGACTTAACAAATACCTGGGACTAATTTATATCTATTGGTCAGAATAAAAATACCAAATTAAATTCATTTAGATAATTGATTAAAGTAGTCAGTGGTTGAGCAAAATGACCGGAATCCAGACAAATCAATGTCATAATCAATGAAAAGTAAAATAACAAAATTACCGAACTCCAAGGAAAATTCAAAACAGAAAGTCCCTTATCAAATCCCAAAATCTAAAGCTCAAACACATCAAACGAATGGAAAACAACTGTCATATTCCTGACTTTATACAGGCATTTCCTTATATAGAAAATGGTGGATTAAATAAACCTGGTTTTATAGCTAGCTGAACCTCTCACAGAGAAAAATCTACCAAGTACATGTATATCATTTACTCAAGTTTTATAGAATATGAATACCTGTTGGTGTGGGTCAGGAACATTACTAGACATATTCTGATGTTTTCATCTTTTAGAGTATTGATTGCAGACATTTGATCAGTATATCACAAAAGTCACACCTTTTCTTGACTTCTATTTATATGCAGTTTACAGCATGACATATTTTAAAATGTTTAGAACTTTATTGATGCAGACAGTTGATGTAGACTTTTGTTATCATTCATCTTTTTTTTGGTGTTGTTGTGTTGATGTCTCATTAATGTATACCAAATCTCCTTTTATTAGAGTACATCAAAAACCTCTTATCTCATATGAAGGGAAGATCAATAAATTTCGAAGTTGATGTCAATTATTTTTTTCAAATGTAAATTTAATACTATTTTGCAATTTTTTAGTGGAACTACCTATAGTATATTAATTCCCTCCTTCCACAATCAAAAGATCCAAAGATTTTGCATGGTCATGTTTCTTTTTAAAGTTACATGATTTCTAACATCCAAATTAAGTGAGCAATTTTGTGGGCAAAACATTATATAAAAAGTAGATGCAACATTTATAGAAGCCTGATTTGCCCATCCGTGGAAAATAAGCCATATTGATATTTACATAAAAGTTGGGATACAACTTTCTTTTAAAAATATTCCCACCTCACTGCTTACAGACTTGCTGTCTATCAATAATAGTTTTCAAAATAAATAGGCAGAAACATTAAAATGGTTAAAAAATAATGGGAGTCAATTGATAGTTTCATCATTTTAGCATTTTATGTAGATCTTGTATTGCTGATAATTTTTTTCTTTACAGATTTTGTCATTCTATAACAGTTTTCAAGATTGAAGGAAAGTATAATTATCCTGGGCAATAACTCCTAAAAATAGTCACTAAGTGCATCAGGTTTCAGTCATATAGTTTTGCTGATAATTTTATTAGGCAAAACTGTGCTCCGTCTGGAGCAGCTGGATACGACCGCAGGGTCGAACTCAGAACAGTTGGGGCAAGTATGGACACAATATTCAAGTTTGATACAGCTCTGAATTTGGATAGCGATTAAATATTTGACACATTTTAGATTTCTGACACAGAATAAATGTGGTCAGATAACTTAAAAATTTGAAATGGGACATTTAATCTACTTAATGGTCCAATATCCAAAATCTTATTCCATGGTTAGATTCAGAATATAAAAAAAAAACCCATGAATTCAAACAAAGTTTAATTTTGGACCCTTTGGACCTTAATATGGACTTATTTGAAAACAGGGCCCAAAATTAAAAATCTGAATGCACAGTTAGATTCAGCATATCATAGAACCACCAGAATTCAGATTTTGATGAAATCAAACAAAGTCTAATTTTGGACCCTTTGGACCTCAATGTAGACCTATTCAAAAATGTCCAAATATCCAATATAGTAATACATGGAAAAAACCTCAAACAATTCAAGACTTTAAATTAATCCTCATTGAAATTGGTTAAAAGATTTGTATTTATTTTCCAATTTGGACATTTCTTGCTGTTGTGCAATACTTTGCTGTTGCGCAATACATAGTAAATCTGTTTACAAACTAAATATAATAATTTACACACCCTGTTTGGTGTGTATCTCCTGCCATATCAGTATTTGTTGTTTCTTTATATAGATCAGAAATAATCTATGTTAGAACCAGCTTAGCCTGTATGAGAAAAGTCTTGTTTTTGGCCCCTATTTGGCCTCTAGTTTCTTAAAGATTAAAGCCACAACCCACAAAATCGACCACAACCTTCTGTGTGTGGTATGGAACCTTGTGGTACAATTTCATAGAGATCCATTGAATAATACTTAAGTACATAACCCCCAAAAATCAATCCCAACCTTCCTTTTGTGCTATTGAACCTTGTGGTTAAATTTCATAGAGATCCATTCACTTATACTAAAGTTATTGTCAGGAAACCAAATGCCTTCGGACGACGACGACATGATAGCAATATACGAATGCAAATATTTTGCAGTCGTATAAAACGTATTTAAATTAGTCCCAAATTGTTATTTCTTTAAGGGCAATACCTCCTATAAGTTTTCATTTGATAATTTTTGTACAAATAGAGAATTAAGGTAGATCTTGTCACTCTAAACATCCCCCAGACTTTCTGAATATATTATGGATATCAAGATCTTACACAATTACCTGCATTTTACCCATATTTAAATATGTTTTAGTCCAGTGGCCATAGTTTTTAGCGTTTCTGTACAGGATTCCTTAAAAAATTGCTTGAAATTGTACACCTGTTTTTTCAACTGTTAATTCTCCGATCAAATGAGAAAAAAAAGTTGTGTTAATATAAGGATCACAGGTTTGACAGATGTAGGACTACAAATTCTGGAGACAATGTACACCTTAGTTAATTTATTTATCATGTTCCTATATTTGGCAGTTTTATTAAGAATTCAAGTTAAATGATTAATTGATTCACTTTGGTGTTTTCTTGTTTGTATATCCTTGTTCCATGGAATATCCACATTGCTTCATATTACCCATACAACATTGGCTCTCTCCATACTTTCTTATTATTAGGATCATCCGCTTATATTTTTTCATGTCTGGCAGCTGGCTAAACTGTTGTTTCAATAGTCATGTCTTGTGTAATTTATTAGTTTTTCTTCTTACAGTTAAGTACAATGTAATGTGATTTTTTTACTTGAAAGTATGTCGATTTCAGCATGCCATCATTTGCCAATGTAAACGAAGCTAGTTCAATTACTCTTTCTCTGGTGTGTGTCTTTATTGTTGTCATGTACTTTAACATTCACTTTTCACTTCATGCTTTGATGCACAAATTTTCACATAGTGGCCATTATCTTTTGGGCTCTTAATCAAATAGATTACACAAAAATGTAGTCAAGCTGTTTATCAAGTTGTTTTCTCCTAAGCACCTCTTAGACTACTTTATAACACAATTTTACCATCATTCACTGACTATGAAATAAGTTCTGCAATCTTTCTCAGGGTGAATAAGGGGGTGAAACTTCTCACTTTATTTCTTGATGATAATATAACATGTGCTATACTTCTTTCCCATAAAAAAGTCTAACCTTGGTTTATTTGCATAGCTGTTGATAATGAAATAATTGTATGTAAACAAAGCTGCTTCATACAAAAATTCCATAAATGTTTAAAAACTGTCTACCTTGAACTGTAAGAATTCGGTTATGGCATCCATTAATTTGAAATAAATTTTGTTTGTTCACCTCTTTTTTTTCTGATATTGATGATAAACTTTTCTTCAAATCAAACTCCTTGCAGTGTTTTATCTTAAAATCTATGAATTATCCATGTTATCAAGTCACAGTTTCTACTTTAATCTGTTTATTGGTGTATTGAAACTTCTTAAAAACCAGGCTACCTTAAAATCTACAATATGTAAAGGACAACATTATTATAAGCAGCATCACAATATTTTTTTAAAGACAGTGGGGGTATTTTGCTTAGAATTAGAGGATTTAGATCACAAGAAATAGAAAAGAAAAAAAATTAAATAGCAAATTATTTTTTTATAAATACTGCCTTTTATGGCAGATATAAGGCTTTTTGTAGCTGGTTTCCCAAATATCAAATCTATAGATACATTTATTCAAAAAGATTTTGCCTTGAAGTGTCAGAAAAATTGATCAATCAAATCCAAAAATTGCTTCTGGTGACTTTGGTTTTTATCAATTCTAAAGCAGATAAAAATACTGTATAAGTAACTTATTCAATACCATTCCTGCAAAATAGGTTCAGGTTATTCCAAAATTTCAATGTGATTTTCTATGTATAACATCAAGTCAGTGCAACATGAAGAATTCTTGTTCAAGGTGGACAGACTAGGTATATAATGCTATAACCATTACTCAGCACCTATCCATGATTCTTTAGACCAGATGAGCTAAAATATGATAGATACTCTCAAGTATAAATAAAACTGACTTTTTATTTCATTTCATGTTTTTAATATTTTCTAATATATTTTATGAAGCATTACTTAACTAGAATTTTACACAAATATTAAAAGTTCTACTTGAATTCGTAATTGTATTATAAAGAACAAATGAAATTACATTGTACAGATTACTATTTATATGTAATGAATGCTGTGATCCTAACTAAACTACATAACAATTCTTCTTACTATTTCAACATAAATGATCCACAATATATACATAATGTAAGGAAATAGAAAACTGACTTGTAGATCTCAAACAGAATTAAAAATACAGAAATGTTTATAAATACAATTACCACTGTCACCTGACAAAAGTTACAGGTATGCAAATATGGAAGATTTTTTATTATTTTGAATTTAAAATTGTTTGATAGTTTCAACATTTTTTTCTTTGGGAATTACTGTAAGTAATGAATTTTGATGAGGAAAATTCAAAATACAAATTTTTTTTCATAGCTGGATAATTATATTTTTAGTTAAGGCCACTATTGTACAAAGAATTAAGACACAAGTTTGAACAAATACTACATGGTAAAATATCTAAATGACTTACAATTTTAACACTGATCTAGGCCATGATCACATGAATAAAATATACGACTTGTGATAACAACCAGTTTGTTGGCATATAAGTCAATTTAGCTATAACATAAATGCATATGTCCAAACCCTTGTCAAATTCATTTTGAATATTTTTATCAGTCAAAACCAAAAATAAGTTACTGAACAACACTGAGAATAAAGAGCTCCATGAGTGCATGATATTTGATTACTCAGATTCTATAACTCCAGAATAGCTTATCTGAATATTTTGAGAAATTAAGAGACCGATATAGGTTTTACTGAAATGTAAAAATCATTGACCACTATATTTGTCTTGGTTGTTTGAGTCAGTGGCTTGTGATCTCATTGACGTATACCCAACATCTCCTTTTATTCATATCAAAGCTTAAATGAATAGCTCAGAAATGTCAAATCTTAACAGGGTCTGTCTACATTCTTTACTAAAAATAAGTAATTTTCCCTAAAAGATGATTTAATGTTAAACAATCAGAACTATGGGAGTTTTACTTGGCTGTACAATATGAGTAACATGTATACAGCATGGTATATAAACCTGCCAATTATCTATTTTCAATATTATAGTGTTATGCAAGGAAATGGACAGAGCAAAATGTTTGTACTGTCCACAATTTCAGGGGCGGATCCAGGATATTTCAAAGGGGGTGTTATTTCGAGATTACAGAATATATACCGTCTAGCAGATCGAGGCAAACATTTTTTTAGGCGATTTTATGCTAAAATTCTTTAGAATTTTCCAATCAATCAAAGAAGGAGGCTTATGCCCTCCATGCCCCCCCCCCCCCCCATATTTATCTTAATGGTTATCACCTTTTATCATATAGACATCATCATACAAAACAAAAACAAAAGATATAACTTAACAAACAGGATTATAATTCTGTTGAAAAATAAAACATTAACATAAGTTTGGATTTATAGAAGATAATTAAAGCCACATCACATACAGGCAGAAGAATTTTCTTGCAACTGGTCAAAATTGTATCGATTAAAGAAACTATCAGCTATTACAGAAAAAAATATATAATATGTACATTCTGATTTCATGTCTTGCAGACCAGTCCTATTTTAAACAAATTATTTCAATTATATTTTCAATCTGCACACATTACACATCAAAAGAATATAATTAAATATGGTTTTTAATTGTGCTACTTCATTTTATGCCAAAATACAAACTGATGGCCATTTAATGATAAATTCCCACTTACAAAACAGAAAGAAAAAAAATCTGTTTTTGGTCAACACTTCAATGCAGACAAGCTAGGTTTAACAATAAGATTTTGAATGTCCAGGTGAAAATACAGTTGATATATTACCTTTACGCTTATATTTGGCTCTACTGAGTTGAATAAACACTATATGAAGTGTTAAGTAAATGCTATAAAAGAGTTATTTTAGTTTTAGTCGAAGTAGCAATTTTTAAAACATGTGTATACATGTACATTGATTTTTTTATGAACAAAGCACCTCTTTTATAATCTGTTAAGTCAAAAAGTAAAATACTGAACTAACTTATCATGCTCATATGTTAAAAGAAATGATGAGAGACATTTTCTAGCCCCATAAATCATAATTTCAAATTTCTTAGATCCATTCCTATTCTACTTTTATTTCCAAATGAATAAATATTATTTTAACACTTGGTGGTATTCAAATAATGGAAGAAAAAAGAGGCCTCATCATACATTTTCTTTTAGATTTAGAACTACTGAACACTTGTTTCATTACTATTTTTTATAATATATTCATACACACTCATAGCATATGAACAACAGCTGAAATTATCAGAAAATCTTCTTTATATTCTCCCAACAATGTTACAACATACATATGATAATGAAAGACAAATGGCATAAAATAATGATTTCATTTTAATTATCTTCAGCTTTACTATGGCTTCGGTACTTTCTTGATGTAGCTTTTGTTTTTAATCTTTTGAATTCTGACCATTTTTGCTGGCTATTAACTTCTGATTCACTATTTTGGGGACCTTCATGATTTTCTACAATTGGAAAACTGTCAGAAGAAGGGCCAGCCAATGTTTTTGAACAAGATGGCTGATTTTCAGCTTCATATAAGTATGGTCCCATATCTTCTTCAGTGTTTTTACATTTATTATTTTCTTCACATTTTGAATTTTCAGTTAAATTTTCACATGCTCCATTTTTATGAATACTGTTCTTCTCGTTTAGTTCCAAACTTCCAGCATCGTCTAAATCTGAATCACTGTTTAAAGCACTATCTCTCAAAAGTTTTAATCTTTTCAACTGTAAGTGATTTCTCTGTTTACAAGCAGACAGAATATTTAGTGGATGGCCTTGAACTTGTTCCCTATGAGTAGAACTGTCACTTGCTGTGTTGTCGTCTTTTTCACTGTCACTAGAATCTGAACTGTAGGTGACCAATGGTCTTTTTCTTTTAGTCTTTCCATTTAGTTTTATTTGCTTGCATCTTTCTTTTATCAGCTTTTCTATAGTCTTCCCACCTTGAAGAGAATTATTTTCCGAGTCTGTATCATTGTCCGAACTATTAGAAATCTCACTGTAATGTTCCATATTACCTGAAGATACAGCATTACCATCAAGGGACCTGGAATTAGCAGCACTAGCAAAGGTCACAGAAAAAGAATTAACCGTAGAATCCTCCTGACCGTTTTCTTGGTTATGATTGCTTGAAGTTCTGTTTTGTGTAGCATGCCTTGAATGATGACTATCTGAATCTGAGAAATCAGAATCATGTATATTTTCAATTCTATCTAATAATTCTTCATCACTACTAGCAAAGTCTTCACTGGAACTGAACCCCTCCAGTTCTCTTTGTACTAATGAATCAAAGAAAGCTAGCATTCGAGGATCTTCCTCTACTGACTGACTGGAATAATCATGTGTCATCACATGACCAGTCTGTAACACCAGGTTGATATATTCCTCATGTGAGTAAGCAGGTCTAGCTGCATTCTTCTTCACAGAATTGGAATCTATTCCTCCTTCTGACGTAGGAACTGGAAATGGACTCCATACCTGTGAAAAATCAGTAAACAGATATAGAACAAAGAAAGCACTCATCCAACTCAAAGACAAACCCTCATTCAAATTAATTCCGCTATAATTCGTTTACGCTACTCCAAATTGCTTCATAGTTCTTTGAATTGCTGACTTTTATAATTTTGGAAACCTAAAAAGAAAATGTTACCACCATTCCCTTAAGATTTTCTTAATCATTGCTCCATTTAAATGAAATCAACAATTTCATTATTAAAATGTCATAGCCTTCCCCACAATTCACAGAAATTTATAGAATTTTTTGGTGATATTTCTCGCGCATGAAAACAGAAGTTTTGTACAATAAAATTATAAATGTTCCTTTTTCTCGCCAAATTTCAGGTATATCTTGCTTAAATATTCATTTTGAAAAAAAAAACTTTAAAAATAACATATCACTTGCTTGCTAACTTTTTTTACTTAAAAGTGTGAAGAACAAATATTCATTTTTGAATGGCCTAATGACAACTGTGTTATTTAGATTATTCTTTGACCCCTATGCTCCTCTCCTCTCATGAACCAGAAATCTAAGCATTAAACATGAAGTCCAACTATATTACATGAAGAAGAATTAATATAAGCTTGAATGAAATCCATCCAGTGGTTTGGGAAATGATGCAAATTGCTGATTAATCAGTGGAACCATAGGGATTCCCAGATTTCTTTCTTTCTTTTTAAAATCTAAAAGCAAAAACTAAATACAAATAGTTCAGCTACGCTAGGGAGCATTCTGCAGGATATAGTCATTATAACCTGATTGTCCCACTGACTCTCACCTAATTTATCTTTATAAATATCATCATACATTTATTTTGATGAGCATTTCACAAAATAAATGTACGATACCAATTTTAGGGTCTAACATGTTTCTGTAATTACTTTCCATCAGGATCATTCAAGACAAAAGATTTGGTAAGCCAATTACATAAAAGTTTATTACCGATTTAAAAGTCAACTTTGCCTAAGTGGTTGTAAAATTACTTTTAGCACAATTCCACAATTCAAAAAGTGAAAGTTTATAGTTAGAATGAATTATTTTAATTATGCCAATACTGAAGCTTTCGATATTAAGCTGATGGTATCCTTTGAGACTAACAGTTCACCAGCAGTGATACCAACCCATTGAATTGCACATTAACATTCCAATCACTTTATATGAAACATTTTGGATTTTTTGTTTATAATTATACATAAATCTGTCATTCTTGAACTAATATTTTCATGTACTTTACCTTAATAGATTTTTCAACACCAGAAGATAAGATTAGATGATTGGCAGCATTAAATCTCACTTGATTTACAATAGATCTATGTCCATGTAATACCATGTGTGCATCATTTACAAACTGTCCTGAAAAAAGATTATTCTTGAAAATATGTTGCTTTATGTGAAAATTTAAACGTAGTATTTAATTTCAGAGATGGCTGTATCCATAATAAAACACTGATTTATTGGATTATTTTAAATGTAATTTACAACTAGATATGGAAATATTGATCCTGGATTCTCCTCTTTTTATAATACAATTGTAACAAGATCATCAAACCTTATATTAAAAACTTGACAAAAAGTGTCAATTCTCAAAAAGTACTATTGATGTCAATGGTAGGACACATTTTTAACTAGCTGTTGGGGGTTACTGACTGTTTGCTGGAGCCCTAATACCTCTTCAAGAAGTTTCTAGTCGTCTTCAAGACAAATAACATTTTATAAATACAAATTTTCTGCAACTGTATTTTTTCAATTAGTATACTATTGTCTCATGCATGTATGTCCATTATCAATTCTTTTTCAAAGGCATTGTGTATGACAAAAATATCATTCTATCAAAGTATTAGGTTATTGTTACATCTTAAAATTCACCCAAAAATTCTTTTTTATCAACAAATGAAAGTACTTTCAGAGTATCTTCCTTGACTTACTTTTTGATAAATCATCAGGTATTTTCCACATGTATAGATTACAGTCATCAGATCCAGACAATACATACTGAAAAAATAAATATAACTAAATGTAAGGCAGATACTATATATAAAATGCAAATTCAGCTCTTCTACTCATTGAAATATAAAGCTTAATATAAAACTAATGCCATAGTAACCACCCATGTTGGATAAGCATCTTTATCTCTCACATTCAACCAAGACAAAAAGGTTTCTTACTAAATCTAATCGTAAGCAGCTTGTTAAGATCACTCGGAGTTTTTTTAATATTCCATTTCATGACACATATTTTTGCAAACTGGGTATTTCAATAAGTTTCCCATTTAAATAACATTACCTATAAATTATCATGTTTTGTGAATATGTGAAAGTGCCTACAGATTGTTATGGATAGATAATTAATCAAATTACTACATGATACATTCTAAAAATTGTTGCAAGAGGACAATAAACCAACTTAATATTTACCTGATCTCTATCTCCAGCAAATGAGCAGCTTTTCATTGTACAAGAGTTGTAATACCCAGCATGGTCGAATTCACATAATGGAAAGGGACTTTTAATGTCATATAAAACTGGAGGTAGACGTCTTCGTAGTGCTAATAGTCTGTCTCCCATCTTACTGACACAGACACTCATACAACTTTGTTGTACTAAACCACTACCATATCTCAATAAACAACTGAAAAAAAGTCATACTATATAAAATATTTTCTAATAATTTCAAAAGTTATATTTCCTAATGCTATGTTAATGGGTTACTATTTTCATGATTCACATGTAACACATGTATTTATCAATCAAAAGTTTTGTAAAATTTTATTCAAATAAATATTTTGCCATATTACGGGCTGTGCCTTTATATAAGTACATGTACCTCATTCCAAAAATTACCCAACATTTAAGGTGCAAGAAGGGCAGTTCATATATTTATCTTAGTGGAGATAGAAATAATTCTTGTATTTAAATGGCTGAAACTAAAAGGAATGTTTTTAGTTCATCAACTGAAACAATTCAGTAATTTATTAACAAACAGAACAATGGTGAATATGAATAAAAAAAACCCATGTAAGTCAAATTATTTCTATGAATAGAAGGAGATTGAGTTTATGTCAATGAGACAACTATCCAACAACTAAACCCCCCAAAATAGACATCTAGGAGTCAATTTAACTTATTCAACAACTGACAAGCATTTATGTCATATGTATCTTAGTTTTTGGTTGGGTTCGTGTTGCTCAGTTTTAAGTTTTCTATGTTGTGTTTTGTGTACTGTTGTTTAGTCTTTTTGTTGTTTTCGTTTTTTTGCCACTGCATTGTCAGTTTGTTTTTGACCTATGAGTTTGAATATCCCTTTGGTATCTTTGGCCTCTCTTTTTGAGCTAAATTGCCCTGATCAGACTAGTAGTGAAACAAGAGGCTCTCAAGAGCCTGAATCGCTCACCTGTATTTCAGAGGAGAAGATTTTTAAATGTTAGCAAACTTGATGAACAAATTGTGTAAAATTGACTTTAAAGGGCAATAACTCCTTAAGGGGTCAATTGACAATTTTGGTCATATTAACTTTTTTGTAGATCTTACTTTGCTGAACATTATTGCTGCTTACAGTTTATATATATCTAATAATATTCAAAATAATAACAAAAAACTGCAAAATTTTGTTAAAACTACCAATTCAGTGGCAGCAACCCAACAATGGGTTGTTCGATTTGTCTGATAATTTCAGGGCCAATAGATCTTGACCAATTAAACAATTTTACCCCATTTCACATTTGCTCTAAAAGATTTAGTTTTTGAGATATAAGCCAAAAACTGCATTTGACCATTATGTTCTATTTTTAGCCATGGCGGCCATGTTTGTCGATGGATACAAACTTCGGATATAATTTATAAACAAGATACCCTAAGGAACATTTAATTAAAGTTTGAAGGTAATTGGCCCAGTAGTTTCAGAGGAGAAGATTTTTAAATGTTAGCAAACTTGATGAACAAATTGTGTAAAATTGTCTTTAAAGGGCAATAACTCCTTGAGGGGTCAATTGACAATTATGGTCATATCAACTTTTTTGTAGATCCTACTTTGCTAAACATTATTGCTGCTTACAGTTTATATATATCTATAATAATATTCAAAATAATAACAAAAAACTGCAAAATTTTGTTAAAACTACCAATTCGGTGGCAGCAACCCAACAATGGATTGTTCGATTCGTCTGAAAATTTCAGAGCTGATAGATCTTGACCAACTGAACAATTTTACCCAATGTCAGATTTGCTCTAAAAGCTTTAGTTTTTGAGATATAAGCCAAAAGCTGCATTTGACCCCTATGTTCTATTTTTAGCCATGGCGGCCATGTTTGTCGATGGATCAAAACTTTGGATATAATTTATGAACTATATACTCTAAGGAACATTTAGTTAAAGTTTGAAGGTATTTGGCCCAGTAGTTTCAGAGGAGAAGATTTTTTAAATAGTTTACGACGACAGACGACGACGCCAGACAACGACGACAGACAACGACTGACGCCAAGTGATGGCATAAGCTCACATGGGGCCCTTCAGGCCCCGGTGAGCTAAAAATTGAAGTGACATAGTATTTTAATTCATGACACAAACTCTCTAAAAATTACCTTTTAGGTTTCCTGATATCCCATAATCCAATGCCCTCTCTAGCATTAGCTGTTGCCAGTAGACGTGGTTCTACTGGGTTATATGCCACTGCATGCATAGATGAAGTGTAATTTGCCAAACAAAATGGATCTGTGAGAAAATCATAAACAACAACTTTAATTCCATACAGTTTAATAACTAATAAACTAATAAAAAATCATTCTAAAAAAAATGTAATAGACATCTGTATTTTGCATCACTTGTTTATGTTGTTATATATAAAATCCTGCTCTTTGTGAGCCCATTTAATGGAAATAAAACATCTTCTTTTTCTTCTATATATAAATTATTTAGATCTATTTGTCTCTGGTAAAAAATATATACTATGATATTTTTCACAAGTTTTCAAGTGTACATCTGAACAAATGAATATAATCCATATGATGTGACACTGAATGTTTCAAATAGATGGTATGATAAGAACAATTTCTTAGCACAGTTTATTAGAAAATAACAATAACTTTGTAGAAGATATTTTGTAGAAAATTATCTTTTTATTTAGCCTGCTGCATATATTTGATTTTACATTAAACTCATAATGAGGCAGTTTTGACAGATTATGATTTTTTTTCAGGTTTTCTTAAATGCATAATTTCTGAAGAAATGCAGAAAAATTTTAAATGAATTTACTGAAATCGTATTTGTAACAAACTTGTGTCTTGTGATTATTTGACAACATAAGACACTTTTATATTTTTAAATTGGAAAATGTAAGGCCAAGCAAGTGACCTTATTAATCCTTTTCTTTTTCGGTCATTCCCAAGGTCGTCGGACATTGGGCAAAGGCCAGTAAAAATTGATTTGGTCCAGTTAAGTGATATGTATTACTGGACCAAATGAACAGTAAAATTTTTTATTTTGTCCAAATCATATGAAAATCCTGTTAAAAAGAGTCTGGCCAGTTATGATAATGATGATGGGTGGTTGCTTAACGTCCAGTGGCAAATTAATATGCATATTCAGGACGAGAACATGTTAATGTAATATGAATATTAACCCTGATTTGTACTAGACAGACACGCTGAGCCGAATATTTAATGTGATAGTTCACAAGATAACAGTCAGCAGGAAGACATGTCACCTTACCAGGACATATTATTCTGACTCTGAGCCGACCAGTCTTTGCTCTTACTCCTTAATGCTGCGTGTTTAGCAGAGAAGCAGCAAATACTAATTTTAAAGTCTTTGGTTTGACCCGGCCAGGGTTCGAACCCACGTCTTCCCTCACTGGAGGCATCCAGTTAAGAAGAATGGTTTACTAGACCAAACGTCTAGTTGATTTCTCAAAGCCTTGGGAACCACTGCCTTTTTGCACAAATTACCGGTACGCTATTTATGTTGAGAATACTGATAAAATTTGTCAAAAATGAGGAAAAATAACAGGAAAACAAATGTTCAGATAATCTGTCAAATTGTGAAAAAATAATAGGAAAACAATTGTTCACAAATAAAATAATGACCTGTACTAGCTGGTTCTCTTATATCGAATACCAAAATTCTGCCATCATCACAGGCACTGGCAAACACATTGACATTGTTAGGGTCTGATGTCAATCCATATATTGCATCATCATGCATGAACACTTCTAATGTGGCACCACTATAATAGATGGATGGCGTTTTTATAAATTATATTTATTATATCTTAAAATAATATAGCTGAGGATCAAGATAATTTTTACTGTTGTGGCACTTAATTGAAAATTTGTGAGACATATAATGTTTATAGTGTGAAAGCAGTTATAATAAAACTTTAGAGATTGTTGCAGTAATTTAATGAGATCGACATGTTTTGGTGCCTATGATCTGTTGTTATAACTGCCTTAACATTTTGAGTGTTGTTTTAACTGCTTTCATATTTTGTGGTTCCCAAGGCACAGAAACACTAGATCTCTTTAAATTCTGCAGCAATCCCTAAAGTGTTGTTATAACTGGTTTTACATTTTGTTTTTTTTACCGTAACAGCCCTGCATACCCTAGGTATCCACTTTAGGGATTCTATATATGTATAGAGTATTGAAGATTGAACAAGCGTTGGTTCACTGTCGTTTGTAATTATATAATGTTTTAGATACATATATTGTTTTTAATTTCTTTGATTTCAATAGAAGCAAACTAATTGGTAATTGTTATTTTTATTGGTGATTTCCTGTTAAAGAAATAGAACTTTTTTCAGTTTAAGGGAAACCTGCTGTGACATTGATTAATATCCTACAATGACCATTTTTTTCTACTGTAAGTTTTTAAATGATGTTGGGTGTTTAACCCCTTATCATTTTTCTTCAGTATTCCCCTATGAATATTTTCCATCAGTATTATAAAAGTGGTATTCAACTACTATCAATCAATTGTTATAAACAGGCTGTGTAATGTAAGATCAAAATTAAAATGTTAATCTTCAGATCATTTTTTGGGGGTGGTGAATTTAATAACGAGCTATTCATATACTGTAAATTCAGAAATTATTGCAATGTTTTCATCAATGTGAATAATGCGACTGGGTGAGCATCACAATAATAAGACCTTGCATTCTAATATTGGAAACATATAGTGTATGCAGATTTTCCAGAAATCGCAATAATTAATCTTGCATTTTTGTCTTTTCTTCAAAAATTGCAATAATAAATGCACGCAATAATTTCTGAATTTACAGTATTCCCTTTTAACTACCTTTCAATGTCATGCACAAGAACTTGTTCATCATTTCCTAAAATATAAACAAAATCAATGAATGTGTTGCATAACTAATTTATTATAAACACTGTTAAGTAGATATAAGAAGATGTAAGATCTATCACACAGACCCTACTGTTTTCTACTGAAGAACTTTCAGTTTTTACAGAGTTCTGAATAGATAGTATAATCACAATTAATATCAGACAAAATTGTCATTGCTATCAAAATTTATGTTGAATGCAGTCACTTTGATTATAACAAGCATTCTGTGAGTATTGAATGGCAATACATAGTCCCGGGCCTACCGGTTACAAATTCATTGTAATGGAACGAAATTCCAACTTGATCTATAACTTGTCATGGTGTAAACTACATAAAAGTATCAAGTCAAAATCTTCAAGCATGATGAAAAAAAACTGTTGAAAACTGATTATTTAAGTGAATTTTCTATGTCCATAGACCATAACTCTGCACAAAAGTATCAGACTGGAACAAAATTCCAACTTGATCTGTAACTTGTCATGATAAAACTATATACTAATTATCAAATCAATATCTTCAAGAATGACAAACAAACCTACCACTAAATTCTTCAAACAATTTACCAAATAAAAGGAAAAAATCCAAAATGTCATTTTGTCTTTTAAAAAATTACTTATTTCCCTTTGAACAGAAATCTATTAACTAATAAGTATTTCATCAAAAATTTAATTCTAGGGAAAGGGCTTTAACTGAACAAAGAGAAAAGCTAAAATCATGAAAATTGAACTTGACCTGTAACTTGTCATGATAAATCAATAAACCAAATATCAAATCAATATCTTCAAGCACGAAGAAAAAAGTGTGGAAAACTGATTTGCCGGACTGACAGATGGACGGACGGACGGTATGTATGCAATATGTACTGCAAAAAGTGAAAGACAATACCAATGGGAATTGAAGAAAAGAGGAGGGGATTGTGGCTATGACAGTTGTAACATATCTTAGGTCATCTGTGACACAAAAATTCCATAAGATTGTTAGCTGATCAGAAACTCTGTGTAAATATGTTTGATACCTACCACCAGAAAATATCTTCTTGTTGTCACGATCAAAAGCAATACAAAAGATGTTACTATTATGTTCTCCTTTCATTATCTTAGGAGAACCTATATCTGACAGGGCTTTCTCAACGTTCCACAATAACACTCTTCTGTCATCACCACCTAAAATAAAATTAAATACAGTGAAAACTTATACATAATTTGAAGTTTGGAAATTATCATAAAAATCCATGAAGTAATTGATGTAAAAAAACTTTAACCACAAATTCAACCTAAATGTTGAGGCTTTTGACACCAAAGATGCTGGAATGTAGAATCATTATGTCACTCAGGCTCAACAAAAATGGCAGAAGTTTTACAAGGTAGACATTGAAAAAATTGCCTATAAAATGTAGATAAAAATCACTTTATATTGCCAAAACTTCAGCTGAAAATTTCCAAATCTCCATTTGTCACAAAGTCGATTTGATTTTTGATTTTTTAGTGTTTTAATGCCACTTTTAAGCACCGCTTTTGGGCTATTTCGTGGCGGCCAGTTTTTATTGGTGGAGGAAGCCAGAGTGCCCCGAGAAAACCACCAACCTTCGATAGGAAAACTGACAATCCTGGTCAATTAAGATTGGAGTTGAGTGCACCCGCACCAGCTGGGGTCGAACTCACAACCTCAGTGTTGACTGGCTAGTGATTACAGTAGTAACTACTTAGACCACTCGGCCACCGAGGCCCTGTCACAAAGTTGAGACTAGACAACTATGTCACAGATTCTGTTTTCAAAATAACAATAAAAGTCTCTAGTCCCTGTCAAATATTATTTTTTTTACAAGAAAGTTCTATTCGTAGATAAGATGCTGATAACCACAGTAAACTTGGAAGTATTTGTAACCCTGTAAAAGTAACTTTTGATATATTGCAAGGTTGCTTTTGTCTAATTTGCTCTGTCTTGTCAGAAAATAAAGTTTGGCAAATTATTTTTTTATCGACAATAAAGTTTATCAACTGGTTGTAGGTATTCTTATAGGCAGCAATTGTACTCCTTTAATAGCAAAATTTAGATTTTTGGGACAGGGTAATTAGTTTTTTCTGTATTATATACTGATAGGATTTTTTTTTTTATTATTTACAAATATCATGTACATTTTGAAGATATAGTCCAGGGTTTAAGTTTTATCAGACATCAATAACTTTGTCAAACTTTCAAGGAAATAGAAGCTGGTTCATAAACAAGAGACAGCATCCAGAGCAAAATTTTGCTAATATTTTTTTTCATTTTTCTATATTTTACTGATAATTTTTTGCAGTTATCATTTTCCTCTATCAAAAACAAGAACATGTTTAAGCTAACAAACAAAACTGCCTACATGTACAGTTTCAAAAGTTGCAAATGACAGGACCTGGATAAGTGAGTCATGCTACAAATTGTCCCAACTGTTTAGACCTGGTCCGGAAGGCCGGAAGACTTTATAAGCTACCCCATCTGTATACAGCTATACAGGGACAAACAGAATTAGCTTTATACTTATCTATTGTAAAAGTGTTTTTTTCTGAAATAAATTGTATCCATTTTTTCTGTATATTACAAGTTTTTTGGCAATCAAAATTTATAATTTTACACTAACTGTAACAAGCTGTCACAGGTGAGACATATGGTGTCATGAAAAACATTTTAAAGTTGTTGGTATATAGTGATTTTGTAAACACTTCTTTCTTTGACAACAGATAAAAGGGGCATAACCACTGAATCAGTAGACCTGTTTAAAAAACAACAAATACCTGAAGACATAAATTGTCCTCCTTTGTGCGAGAACTCTATTGCATTAACACATCCATAATGCGCTTTAAGTTCTCTCTTGTACAAGTTTTTTGCTAAGCTGGTTCTGTGTCTCATAAATTTGTCTGATGAAGTATTTGGTTGAGTGTTACCAATTTCTCGTCTTCCAATAAAGCCAACCGGGTCACATACTGAAGATAAACAGTTTTGCCGAAAACTTCTGAATGCCATTTTTGACAATTTTCAGGCACATACGTCAAAGTATTGATTCTAATCAGAAATAAATATGCATTCCTTTCCGGAGAGCCGACTTGTCATCGGTTATTTACTAAATTATGTCCCCTGAAAAAAATACGCAAAATAATGTAATGTTAGGGAAAAACCCGAGAATCGCGAAATTTCCCGCCAAAATTTCGGGAGTGTTCATAAATGGACATGCATAAAGTATGCTGAAATAGATATTTAACAGATTTTCTGCATCGGTCTTCAAACTTACTTAAATAAACCATGTATAACGTCACTTCGTGTCAATTGTGATAGATAAAAAAAAATCTCTCTCAAAAAAAAATACTTTTAACTCCGTGTATCAACCAACAACAAGATTTGGACAAACCACGGGTTATGTCAGTCTTCTCATATATTTTATGACGGTATAATACTAAACCCCTAACAGGAGGGATTGTGCCTGATATTCATATGATGAAGACATAATATTTCAATCCGTTTAATTGAGGTCTGGAGCTGGCATGTCAGTAACTGCTAGTAGTCTGTTGTTATTTATGTATTATTGTCATTTTGTTTATTTTCTTTTGTTTCCTATTCTGACATCGGACTCGGACTTCTCTTATCCTGAGTTTTACTGTGCGTACTGTTGTGCGTTTGTTTTTTCTACATTGGCTAGAGGTATAGGGGGAGGGTTGAGATCTCAAAAAACATGTTTAACCCCGCCGCATTTTACGCCTGTCCCAAGTCAGGAGCCTCTGGCCTTTGTTAGTCTTGTATCATTTTTAATTTTAGTTTCCTGTGTATAATTTGGAGTTTAGTATGACGTCCATTATCACTGAACTAGTATACTTATTTGTTTAGGGGCCAGCTGAGGGACGCCTCCGGGTGCGGGAGTTTCTCGCTGCATTGAAGACCCATTGGTGGCCTTCGGCTGTTGTCTGCTCTATGGTCGGGTTATTGTATCTTTGACACATTCCCCATTTCCATTCTCAATTTCACTTTCAAGGCCTGATTCCACTATACAAATCCTTGCCACTATTAAAGAAAAGTATATAAAAAAAGGAAACAGGAACTTAAGTCAAATACACTCAATTCGTCGTAGCAGGAGACATTCAAATTAATCCTGGGCCACCTAATAGAAATGTCGCCTTAAATTAATTCACTGAACCCATGTGGACTCAGTGAAGATGTGTGTTGCGACGACTGTAAAAAGAAAGTATCATGGGGAATTCAAATCTCATAAGGTTTGAAGTTGAAAGAAACTGGCAATGATATGGAAAAATAACAAATACAACGAAAAGACAAACAAGTTCACAAAACACTGCATAGATGACTAAAGACTGAGCAAAATAATCCCATCAACAAATGGTGATGATCTCAGGCACTCCAGAATTAGTATTATTATTGGTATAAAGTACAAATTCCTGGTGCAAATCTCATCCGGTGATGTCACAATCGAGGAAAAGAGGACGTATACTCCATATGCAGGCGATGGTGGAATTTTGCTACACAGAAATTGAAAGTGCTGAAATCATCATGTCGAAAAGTTTGTTCCCAACCGACCATCAAGTCACCAAACGGTTTGAATTATTTCAGTGAGAGGACATCATCAACATAGCGTAACTTGAAGTTAAATGAAAATGCTAGCTTCTTATCATTCTTCCTGAGAAGCTCCTGTATGAAGTCTGCATCTTGTGTATAAAGGACCAAGTAGACATGAAGAGAAGCACATTTGGTTCCCATAGGAATGCCGATTGTTTGTTAAAAACACGTCCTCCAAAACAAAACAAATATGTTGTCAATAAACAAATAGTCGTCTTGATGATTTCAGTCTCAGATAAATTGAAATACATGGCACTTTTATTCGTCCATCGAGCTTTCCATACACGGATTATGAACTTTGCACATATAAGATGTTCAGTCGGAACGTGCTATCAACGTGGACTTATTCACCTGCCTTATCCTTGTGGACTATATAGCACTCCACAATATTCTCACATTTAGCAAACTCAAACCTAACCATAGACGGTAATATAAATTCATCGTACTTTAATCCAGTTCATACCAGTAGCCCAAACAAGGACTTTCTATACTACTGTTAGTATAGACTGTCCCTGCACCAAAGTAAAAACTCAATACGAAAGTGTACATGTACACAACAAAGAAAAATGATGAATCTTTCAACTAACTCGATTCCACTAAACTTCAACTTAAGCAAATTTACAAATAATGACAGAAAACTTCAAAAGTATATTAATTTAGACAAAAGACCATAGTTTGCAGCTTGTACGAACTATATGAAACCAGACATTATATGCGACAAAGAAGCATGACTTAAAGGCGTTCAGCAAGAGTAACCAACGTTCACCAAACAATGTGCAAGATATTCCCGGAAAACTACAAAATCAATTAAAATAATAGACAGAGGCACTCATTAGAGGCACTCATGGGAGGGGGGATGGGGGGATTTCATTGCCGGCATCCATGAAAATCTCGTATCAAGTGAAACCCTGGAATTAGTAACAGGGTGCGAGATTAAATTAACGGATACAAATGTAAAACAACGAACACTTATATAAAGCCTTTTACATTTATACATGGCTCAGAGGAATATGAAATATAAAGACGGTCTGAAAATATCACTGGAAAAATTGAAAACTTTAGGAAAGTAAAAAACATTGTCATCCTTTCTGGTGAGCTCAGCTGTCCGGACAAGCAGAGAGGTCAATCCAGGAACTACAGAGAGGTTAAACATGCATTGCTGGACCTACGTCTAATAAGAACTAACTCAAGTTCGTGTTAAACACACAAGGGAAGACAACATGCTAAATCTGCATGGTCTTCACAACAAATCAGTCTCATAAAGATTAAACGTAACATGAGAAAGTTGTCTGAATTCTGAAGATATCTTATAAGCCAACCAGAAGAGACTGTTACAGAGAAAACAACTGGACATTCTTAAGACAGCGAGAACAAATTCACCAATATATATAAAAGACGTACGAAATAAAAGCACAATGAATAGACAAAGCTTAACTTGGGTAACAATACAATTCAAAAGAATGTTTAGAAGAAAAGCCAGACTACACAAGCATGCAAAACTAACAATGGCACTTGACAAGTGCCTGTGAACACGAACGGGAAACTTCAAATAATACAAACAAACCCAAAAAGATTGCAAACGTTGGGGGAATGTCAAAAAGTGTGCCTAAAAAGAACAGTTGAACTAGCTTCAAGCCTAACAAAGATCTTTCCACAAACCGTAGGCATGCACAGGAACTCTTCCCGCACAGACTGCCTTAGTCTAAATATTGCCACGTAATGTTTACCAGAAAGGAGACGTACATGCAACTGAAAACTATAGACAAGTGTCGCTTACATATGGCTCATGCAAACTTATTGAACATATCATACGCAAACATATGCTAAACTTTTTGAAAAGTTAAAAATTCCTGCAGAAATCAGTTACTAATTACAACAGAAGACCATGTAACAAAAAATGACAGAGACATCCAAATAGATATGGCAATATTAGACTTCTCAAAAACATTAGATACCGTATCACACGACCGATTACTAGCAAAGTTAGTGAGTTATGGAACCGATGGTAAAATAAACCCATGCCTCACTATATTTCTAATACTCTGCAACGGAATTTATATGCATAGAGCTTTGCAGTGGATGTGCTGTAGTTGTTATATTGTCGAAGTGGACTCGTTCACATTTCATACCGATTGAAAATAACGTATAAAAATTAACATATGATCACTGAAAGTCTTATTAGAAGGAGAATACTCCAAAACCTCGAGCAGGAGTTTCGCAAGGCACAGTTCTATGTCCACTATTGTTCCTATGCCATATAAACGACAATACCAGAATGCCTACTGAAATCCCAAGTCTCATATTTGCAGATGACTGTCTCCCCTACCGGGAGATAGAATCTGCACAAGACGTATCAAATACTCCAAGACCTGACAAATCTAGAACGACGGTATTCCAAATAGGGAATAAAATTTGATGGAAAGAAATACTTAATTATAAACATCAAGAGCAACTAAATTGTGAACATCAAGAGAAAATACTTGACATCTCGAATGACCTCAAATGGTGCAGTCAAATCAACAAAATTGTTAGCAAAGCGAGCTGCACATTAGGCTTTCTACGACGTAATACGAGACACTGTCCTCTAGAATTTAAGAAAATAGACGGTCAATCCCTCTATAGATCTTCAGATCAGTGCTTAAATATGTTGCCATCGTATAACAACAAAGACATTGACAAGATTAAAAGTATACAGAATATAGCCGCAAAACTTATATAACATGATTATGAATCGAGTGATGCTGGCATCCAGGCTGTGTTAAAAAGATGCTTTCAGATCAAAATCTAAAACAAATGCAGCAACGCAGAGAAAGAAAAGTGTTAAGGTTAATTCTACTAAGTGGTTGAAGTGTTGATGCCGGCGATTGCACCAATTGACCACATAGAACCAAGTAGTAATGACACAATTAACAGCAAGTTATAGTACATGAACTTGATTAGCTTTAACATAGTTGAACCAGATGAAACAAGGATTTCAAGATAACCAAGCGATGAAAACTGACACCAATACCACAAAGCACTCTTTCTTTCCAAAACTATCATAGATTGGAACTATCTGGAAGATGTACAATTGCATATAGAGATAATTCCCACAGTGGTGGTAATCATGCCACTTTCTCTCTAGTGCAAAGATAACGTGAACAGTCCCTGCACTGTAAGTATCCAGATCCAGAACTCCATTCGTGATGAAGACTTCTTTATCAGCTTTATTGATGTAATACCCCTTTTAAAAAAGAGGCGGAAATGACCAAAAGAGACTGAACAACACCAATGCAGTTCTTGATCTGCATAATTACAGGGAATGAGCATATGGCACTCCATAGAATAAACTGTTATATGTTATTTGGTTGCTTTAGTATGATCGGGTACAATTATTACGGAACTCTTACCAAGACTGATGATTGTTACAGAAAATTCATCTTCAAAATAACACCAGTCAAATCTCTTCCAGATCAACCGAGTCCATGCAATTTTCTCATTTGATTTCGGTTTGATCAGTTTGGTTTTGGTATTTAAGCAAGCTCTTAGTAATAGAACTTTACTCAATACTCAGGTCAACAGGGGTCAAGGACTTGTATTTCAAATAAGGGCATGATGGATAATGGCAGATATTTTCTTCACCTACATACCCATTAAAGAGTTGTTGCAAATGCAATGTCCGCACAAGAGGCACCTTATTTAACATCCCCATTCCGACCAGATGTGGCTGTGTATTTATACATCCTGTACAGAAAAAACAGACACCGACCTCTTTTCAGAGGGTGGTAAAGGGTTATTTTCGTGCAATGTGTTTTACCATTTTTATTTCACGTGCAGCCGTGAAAAAGGGTCCGTTATTCACCGTGTTTCGTGAAATCGGTAAAAAGATCAACATGCAAGAATTTTTTAATTGTTCGTTCATTGGAAATGGCAATTTTATTTCGTGTTCTTCCGTGCAGATACCCCCCTCCCCCTCCTTTACAGTATTGTTTTTCTGACCAGATGTGGCTGTGTATTTATACATCCTGTACAATAAAAACAGACACCTACCTCTCTTCAGTATTGGTTTTACTGCTGGATGGGAGAAGTCCAGGTGTTACTATAGTTGTATACTACAATACATGGAATGACAATTGGTTTAGATGTTTCATAGGAAAAATTTTAAACTAGAGTCTTCTAGCTGTATGAAACGCTCACTGCTTTTTTTTTTTATCATGGAAGTCTTTTATAATTGCCCTTTTCCAACATCACTTAGAACTCCACAAAAGGGTATGGTATTATTCATGCAATGTATAACTGATATTGGCTCAGGAATTTGAGAGAGAGAGAGAGAAAAATAGTTCAACACAAAGAACACAAACATCTACAAGTTTCTGCAACAGCCTCTTAATTACTATTTGCTGCATATGAATCTGCACACAGACAATGGCTACCCAGTGATGAAAAATGTTTATCTTTAACTCTGGATAAATCTATGGGAAATACAAATAGCATTTTCTTCAGGTAACTACACAGACATACTTGAGTTTACTGTAATAGAAATCATGGCACCTTAAAAATATATGAATATTGTAACACTGAATTCTGTAATGTTATTATTTTACTTTATAAAATATCAATCTAAAATACAAGTTGCCTGTCATAAGAGGTCAATGGACCTATAGAAAAAACACACAAACACAGTCTTGAAAAGTATTTCATCAATAAAATCAAATTGTAAATAGATGATTATATGATGATCATTCCTTAAATATGTGATATTTTTCATGAATTGACACCCAAAAGGACAGCTATCCTGGAATATATTAATCCCTTCTCTCCCCCAATATGTCTGTCCATCATCTTTGGTTTGTCTGCCACAAAAGTAACAAAAGATGTCATCAGAAAAGAATGAAATCAACAGAGTTACTTTACAAAATGTGTTGTCCTCCACCTTCATATTGTTTTTTGGTCAGATATTTTATTGGGGCTTCCAGAGCAAAACATGGTTTTATCATTTCCACATCCAACACAAAATGTCCTAGATTCTACAATGGAGTAGAAAACATTTCTGTTACAGTAGTTGGGCATCATGGTTGTTTTTGGGGTTTTCCTGCAACATCAGGGACTTTGCCATTTCTTCATGTGGTGGAAGTTGTTCAATGCAAAATTTCCTACATTTGAATTGCTAAAATGTAGATTTTTTTTTAATTGTTGTTGATCTTCTTTTTTTTTAGCCATTTTGCTATGTTTCCTTTTTTTGACTTTTATTAAATGATTTTCATTGCCCCTTTAGATGTCCTTGCTTTGTACACATAGAGACTTAACCTAAGTTCAAATTCATACCAAGTTATGATTTTTTCATGGATAAGAGATTTCAAACTTCGTATTGTATTAAATGAAGCTGTAATTATTGAGGAGAAAACACTATATATTTTGTTATATTGCAGCAAATGCTAAGTTTCCTTGGGCTCCATGAATTATAAAATCTTAAGCTGGGATATTGTATTTATAAAGCAGAATACATTATAAAAACAATTACTCTCTCTTCTAAGGTGAGAAAGACTATAATTAAAATTAATTAAAGAATATATAATAAAACTAATAAACAGATTTGGAGAAATATTTATAGGAACATTGTTGTTTGTCCTTGGTGATGCACTGCCAATGGAACTATGGTCTGTACTTGATATTTTGGCACTGGTTGAAGTATCTGAAAGATAAAATTATTTAACCTGATTAATTTTTTAAGAATTGGACAGTAAAATATTCATTAATTGGAACATTTAGATAATGGTTTAAATATAGATTCTACCACTTCATCGAGTGGGATACAATATTTATCCACTTGAGACAGTTAAATTTTAAAATTTAAAAAGCAAGGCTCACCAAGCGTTTTAAATATTTCAAATTTAACTGTCGAGAGTGGATAAATATCGTATTGCACAAGATTAGGTGGTGGAATCTGTTCCTCTATTTTTAATTAGAAATTTTATTATGTAAAAAGATGTGTTCTCTCTGTTTGACGTCATCAGGCATGGTCGCCTTTTTTCATGACGTCACAATAGGTAATTCAGAGGAAAGCAAGAAAATTTGACCAATGCAGAACTGAGATCAAACGAACCACACATTGATTTATATAATAAATGAAAATAATCAACGGTTCAGGAAAACGATAAATCAGGTAAGAATTAGAGAATATGAAATAATCCACTGCTGCTGTTATGAAAAAAAATTGTAGTTATTGTCAAACATGTAGGCTTCATCTTTGATAGCAAAGTGAGCATGAATTGATACATAATTTCCTTTTCATAAGATATATTTTGATGTTTAGCAATAATTTTTATTAAAACAACAATTTGGTAAAAGGTTAGTAAGGTTGAGAGCTAATTGCAATTTCAGAACAAAAAAGCTACAATGAAGTTATTGTGAAAAACATTGCTTCTATGAATAGCACTGAGTTTTCTTTTCTTAATTTTTACACATTTTTATATAGCTTTACAACACTTACAGTATGTAACATTAGAATATTCTGTAACAGGCAGGGTGGTATTATCTGGGAGATCTGGACACATGATATCTTGACTACTTGGACATTTGATATATCCTCTGTACCCTAGTATCTGAAAAAAATGTCATAAAAGTTTGAAAAGGATGCATTATTCCTAAATAAAATGCTTCACTGACCGCAGCCGGATTTGATCGCAGAGGTCGAACCCTGAACAGTTGGGGCAAGTTTGGACACAATATTCAAGCTTGATACTGTCTGAATTTGGATTGTGATCAAATTTTTGACATAATATAGGTTTCTGACACAAAATAAATGTGGTCAAAGATCTTAAAAATTTGAAATGGGACATTTAATTTACCTGGAATGGTCTGATATCCAAAATCCAACAACATGGTTAGATTCAGCATATAAAAAAAACACCAAGAATTTAATTTTAGTTGAAATCAAACAAAGTTTAATTTTGGACCCTTCAAACCTTAATATGAACTAATTTGAAAACAGGGCCCAAAATAAAAATCTAAATGCACTATAAGATTCAGCAAATCATACAGCCACAATAATTCAGTTTTTGATGAATTCAAACAAAGTTTAATTTTGGACCCTTTTGACTTCAATGTAGACCAATTTAAAAATGGGGCCCAGTATCCCAAAAAATTATACAAGATTAGAACCCCCAAAAATTAAAGACTTAATTAATCCCACCGAAATTGGTTAAAACATTTGTATTTGTTTTCAAACGGAAGATTTCTTGCTATTGTCCAATACTGTGCAATTGAAGATTTCTTGCTATTGCGCAATACTGTGCAGTTGAAGATTTCTTGCTATTGCCCAATACTGTCCTATTGTGCAATACTGTGCAATTGAAGATTTCTTGCTATTGCGCAATACTGTGCAATTGAAGATTTTTTGCTATTGCGCAATACTGTGCAATTGAAGATTTCTTGCTATTGCGCAATACTGTGCAGTTGAAAATTTCTTGCTATTGCACAATACTGTGCTATTGTGCAATTGAAGATTTTTTGCTATTGCGCAATACTGTGATATTGCACAATACTGTGCTATTGCGCAATACTGTGCAATTGAATATTTCTTGCTTTTGCCCAATACTGTGCTATTGCGCAATACTGTGCAATTGAAGATTTCAAAAAATTTTGAAGAAAAAAATGAACCCCCCAAAAAAAATTTGAAAAAAAAATCCCAACTTTTTGAACCCCCCACCCCCTTTTGGAGTAATTACCCCCAAACTCAATCCCAGCCTTCCCTTTATGGTATGAAACCTTGTAGTACAATTTTAGAGAGATCCAAACACTTATACACAAGTTATTATCTGGAAACTAGAAAAATGTTTGTTTTTGGACCCTTTTTTGCCCCTAATTCCTGAACGTTTGGGGCGTATAACCCCAAACTCAAAATCAGCCTTCCCTTTGTGATATGGAACCTTGTGGTACAATTTCAGAGAGATCCATACACTTACCGGTACACACAAATTATTGTCTGGAAACTACAAAAATGCTTGTTTTTGGCCCCTAATTCCTAAACTGTTGGTACCATCACCCCCAAAATCAATCCCAACCTTTCTTTTGTGGTAGAGAACCTTCTGGTAAGAATTCATAGAGATCCATTCACTTAAACTAAAGTTATTGTCCGGAAACCAAATGTGTCTTCAGCTCTCTATAGAGAAAATATGAGAGATGAACAATTAATATTTAAGAATATTTTTACAAACATTCATGTTTTTCCTTCTCTACATATTCATCTTCAATTAATTTATGTTATTACATTTGTAATCAACAATTAATCAGGAGGACATATTGTATTATTATTATAAAATGATTATTATATAATATTAATACATTGCATCAGATGAGCATGGATAAGATCTAAGGAAAGTACAGTTCACTGTAGTTTCTCACAAAAGTTAAAAATTTAGCTATCCAGCCAGTTGTTACATTGAATTGATTGCACTTGGTGCAATCTCATGCCAACAAAAAATAGAATTTTTTACCACATCATTTGAAGTTAAATTTGATACAAAACACAAACTAGAACTTCCAAATATCTCTTCTTCAAAGTCAGGAACTCTTGGAATTGAACACTTTCCCTGAAACAGCAGAACTTTCTGCATTCTACACTAAACTAATATGTACTTCTTACAAGCATATACTAACCATTCCCATATCAGGATCCATACATCAACATTTCATCCTAATGTGATGTAAGTCGTTAAACTAAAAAAAAACACAATGTATTTAAAAAGGCAAATGAAATGACTTCAATTCAAATACTGAAGTGAAATTAGAATTATCATTAATTTTGTGAACATGTGCTTTCAGAAGGGTCTAGGTTATCGCTCATAACATGAAAGTTCATTCTTGTATAATAAATTAAATGAGCTCTAGTTTTACACAGTTTTTTACTCTTAATTACTACATTCATTAGAATCCTAAAAATGACACAAAGCACATTTGTTCACTGATATCGATTACAGCATTTTTACGGTTTACAGTTTCATGACTTTCATAGATGCTGCCTCTTTAAAACATATGATTTAAATTTAAACTGTTTTGACTTCAAATATCTTTTTTTTTTTAATTTTGTCAGAAATTTCTATAGTTATTGGAATCAAAACATGTTTCAATTCTCAATTTTATTAGAGTTAAAGTATAATTCAATGCACTGTAAAAAACATTTCAGCCAAAAATAAATCTTCTTGGGTAAATTTTCAAATGATTTTTAAAAAGTTTTAATGAATAAATATTTATAAGGAGAATTTATTTCATGGTCACATTCATTTATTCCAGACAAGTTTTCAGTTATCCACTTAATATCTAAATATACTATTACAATGTCATTTATGTTCTTTGTACGTGGGTCCGTGACAGAATTACAGTTCCTATGCCTTATTTTTAGCATGGACTTTTAGTATTTGTATTGTCATCTGACTAAGTCATGATGATTGTAAGGTGCACATCTTTCTCTTGCTTTCAAAATCTTTCTGTTTGAACCCGTCCTGGTTTTCTTACTACAATAAACTTACTATAAACTAATTTAACTTTTTAATTAACCAAATTAATAGTGGTATTGAGGTGGAAGAAAACAGACTTGTTAAATAGTGTACTATAGTGTAACATAGATATAAAACAACTACTGGAAGAATTCCAGGAACTTTTGAAAGAGGAGGGATTTACAGATGGTAACAGGTAACCACAATTGGAAACTACAAGTGACATATACTATTGGTATCAGATTCGAACCAGAACTTGTTAATTATTGGTAATATTAAATATGTGGAAATCAAAAGGGTCTCAAATGGTGTTATTTTTAAACAACACAATTGTCCTATATAAGTTGTATATAAAATTGAATTCTTTGATTCATCGATTTTACGTCATGCCGGCTAACAAACTGGACCTTGTTATTTTAGTAGTATAGATAGGAAGCTTTTCTTGTTTTACAAGAACCCACACAAATGTCATTTATGTATTTTCTTAACTAACAAACTATAGAAAAAACACCTTCATTTACCTTTCCTTCCAAATGTGCACCATATTTAGTTTCAGATGAACATCCAAAATGATTTTGTGTTTCTCTTAAAACTGATGGTGTAACAATCCTTACTTATCCATTAACTTCTTTGACAATGGTTAAACCTAGGGAATGACAATCAAGATTTCTTTCTGCAAAAAACTAAAAAAAATGTTTTTGAAGGTCAATTCTATAGTTATCACTAAAACATACAGAGGTTTAATATCACTTTTATAACAACAGTCAGTATTATTGGGGTTTCTAGGAAGGAGACTGAGCACCCAAGAAAATTGCCAATCAACTGCACAGCTAATTGGATATCTAAGTACTGGATAGGAAAATTCCATGATATATATATATTCTGTCAAAATTGTCCTCAAGTCTTCTTTAGAAAACAGTTTTTTTAATTTGTTAATTTCCTGCAAAAATTTGTTGTAAGGATGTATAAATACCCTGCCACGTCTGGTCTGTGTTTTTCTGCTTTTTATCGATCTGATGAATTAAGCCCTTTTCAACTGATTTTTATACTTTGTTCATATATTGTACTGTTACACCACTGTCCCAGGTTATGGGGAGGGTTGAGCGCCTGCTAACATATTTAACACCCACATTCTGTATGTGCCTGTCCCAAGTCAGGAGCCTGTCATTCATTGGTTGTCATTTGTTGCTGTACATCATATTTGTATTTCGTTCATTGTTTTTTACATAAATCAGGTCGTTAGTTTTCTCAATTGAAGTGTTTTACAATTGTCATTGTGGGCCTTTTATTGCTGACTATGCGGTTTGGGTTTTGCTCATTGTTGAAGGCCGTACAGTGACATATAGTTGTTAACTTCTATGTCATTTGGTCTCTGGTGGAGAGTTGTCTCATTGGCAATTATACCACATCTTCTATTTTTATATTCCGTCAGTAGAATTTTAAAGATTAAATGTAAATTCATAAAAAAAGTTTCAATAAAAGCTTATAAACTTTTGGTTTCTGATATGAACATAACAAATACAATAAATAAGGTGCATTATGTGTAATTTGTATCAAGTATTCATAGTGGTATCTACGAATTAGGTATAGACCAGAAACTTTAAGTTAGAAAACATAATGTAATACAAAATCAAGTTCTGTAGAGCTTCTTGGGAAGTACAAACAAGTACCTGGCCTTTGTTAGTCTTGTATCATTTTTAATTTTAGTTTCCTGTGTATAATTTGGAGTTTAGTATGGCGTCCATTATCACTGAACTAGTATACATATTTGTTTAGGGGCCAGCTGAAGGACACCTCCGGGTGCGGGAGTTTCTTGCTGCATTGAAGACCCATTGGTGGCCTTCGGCTGTTGTCTGATCTATGGTCGGGTTGTTGTCTCTTTGACACATTCCCCATTTCCATTCTCAACTTTAATACACTTCAATATACTTTATACATATCAATAATGAATTCTGTGAATTATCAATTTCACTGTTGGCATATGATTGTATCTTGTCTGTAAGTATCTTGTAAGTAGGAAGAGGACAGCATTCCAATGTCCATCAAAATTTGATTAAGAAAAACATTTATTTAACCACCATTTGGCTAATTGTCTATGTTATTAAAGGTCCTAATGACAAACCTTTAATCTGACACTACTTAAAATATGCAAAATGAGTTTTTGAAAATCCAAGTGTATGGAATAGCTCATGTAACAATGTCTACAAAAGAACAATAAAAAGTATGACAGGGGACATATCAAACAATCTGTAAATAATTACTAATCAAATTTCAAGAATTCAATCTGGTTTCAAAGTTGGCAATATGAAATTCTGGGTAAATGATATCAGAATATGATAATGTTGACACAATTTAATAGTTTAAATGAGAAATCGGATAGCATTTACATCATTTTTATTTATCAATGATCATCAATTTCTTAACCACTTTTAAAACTTAATCCATAACTATCAGTTTATACACTTCATAAACAGAAAATCAATACAATAAACTTTACAAACCTTGTATAATTTTTCTGGACTGTTGTTAACAACTGAATGAGGACAAACATTGATACATCCAGATATTGGTCTATCATACTGTTCCACATGGCACACTTTGGCATAGGATAATACTTTGTTCACCTATGGAGAATAAATGGCAAGCAGTTATCTATGGTCCTATATAATTAAATTAAGTATCAATTTTATATATAAATATGGCTATTGTTTTATCACTTATTATAGTTCTTGAAAAACTTGTATCAATCAAATTATAATTCTATGTTGTCATGTTGGTTGGTTCTAGTGTTAGGAGTCGGCTGGAAAATTACAATAGATTTATCAGAATATTCGATCAGCAACCCTGGATTCAATATTTATTATATCGTTTGTTAATATATATTCAAATAATGTAGGAATTTAGTAACACTTTTTTCCTAATGTAATACTTATGTTTGTATTGTATTATGAAAAATTATTCATGTTGTAATGTTTATGCCCTTTGGGGCCCATAATTGGAAATAAAAATATCTTATCTTATCTTATCTATGCATGTCATATATGATATAAAAGTAAAAATACCCAATATACAGATACATAAAAATACTGTACATCAACACAATGTGTCTATGTACAAAGATAATATGCTATGGGTAGTTTTAAGGCATTATGTACATTTTCAGGAAGGTGTCAAATATCTAGAACTGTTCAGACATTGCAGCAAAATGTACCTTCTAGAAAAAAGAAAGACTGGCTTTAAAAGTTTTAGCTTAACAAAAGCTGTTTATAACATGTGTACATACATTACCCAAGAAGTTGAGCAATCTGATCATATACTGATAAATAGATACAACAGATGAACGAAATATTTGTCAATTTTTTTTTGGCAGAAATGATCTGAGATGTATTTTTTTTTGTAAAATCTTAGGATAACTAAACTATTCTAATATTATTAAACACTTGTTACATTTACCTGTTGTTAACTTAGAGTTAGTTGCTGATTTGCATGCAATTGCTAGACTACAAACATAGACTATTGAATCTACAAACATCTGATGTTACTGAATCTACATATAATATAAAATCTGTATTGTTGACACCAGCTCCTTGAGAATATACCATTCTGACTGGATCTGGGTCTTACTCATTCTATACATTTAAACCATCTAAATGGTCATCTGGAATCTGAAAAGTAATACATACACTGTACATGTATCATATAATTCTAGTCTTACACACTTGAAAACATTATTAAAAGCTAGAGGAAAATGAAATATAAGAAAGTTTAGATTTTTTTCAACACAACAAATTGAGAAAAACTCACTCTGAATGTATCCATACATAGTTCACTTTGATAATTTCTTTTAATGGACTTGCATCTGAAAAGAAATAAATGGGGAATGTGTCCATGGGACACAGATGATGCCCCCGCTTGCATATAACAATAAAAAGGGACATAACTCAAGAAATGTTAAAGTGACGCTACCCAAATTTGTTCTTGATCTGAGTTTTGTGGTAATAAGCATTGTGTATACGTTTCATAACATTTAGTTGAGGCAAACTTAAGTTAGAGAACAGAAACCAAAAATTCAGCAATTTTTCCATTTGTAAAGGAGCATAACTCTAGAACGGTAAAAATGATGCCACCAAAATTCAAACTTGATCTGTGTTTTGTGGTAATGAGCATTGTGCATAAGTTTCATAACATTTGGTTGAGGCAAACTAAAGTCATAGAACAGAAACGAAAAATTCAGCAATTTTTCCATTTGTAAAGGGGCATAACTCTAGAACAGTTAAAGTGATGCCACCAAAATTAAAACTTGATCTGTGTTTTGTCAGACTAGGGTATGCTGTGCCATAATTTTTTTCCAGATCCACAGGTTTGTCTGCACTCAGAATTAATTTTGTGGTTCAGTCCTGAGACTACTCTATATGGTCAGATCATTTGTTTTCGTACGTCATATGGATTCGTACTAAACATGCTTTTTCAATGGACCTTGTGACGTCACAATGCATTCTTAATAGCACAAAAACCCATGAGACAGGGATATGTGTTATAGTAGAGGGTAGGAATGCCCTTTACCGTCAGGCGTTAAACGGTCATTTTAGGCTACCGTCAGCGTCAAATCGGTTAAAATTTTCCATTGAATCGTCAAAATATCCTTATCGTGATCGTCAGAGGTCTCAAATAATTCATCTTCGCTAGCCAAAGGGTTATGATCCACTTCCTCCTCTCGTGTCGTGGAGAGGAGGGAAGTGGATCATAACCCTTGGCTAGCGAAGATGCAAATAATTATCATAACTGTTATTTTAGGAAAAAAATTAACATGATTCGTCAAAATCAGTCGATATTTTTTTCGTCCAAAGGATGTGTACATTTTATCGTCATGCATCAAAAATTACCGTTACGTCATTTGGCAAGAATTTTTACCGTTATTCGTCATGAAGGTACCCCATATTACGACCCTCATAGTAGTCGCAGTTCAGCCAAAGGGTCCACATGAACCTAGCTTGCGCACCATTGACAGGCATTGTTCAAACTCAGGGTTTAATTTTTTAAAAAGCATTGAGAGAATATGTCTTATTTACAAATATATGAAATCAAAGAGAATATGGCATACCATAATCTAAATTCTGTTAAATTTTTTACTGGGCGCAGCCATTTGTAAGAATAATTCTAACGATCGTTTTGATTGGGGAAGGTCTATTAACAGGACAGATAAAACCAGGACAGTTATTTTCGATACGTTTTCATCTGTAACTTTTGTTTTAACCAACATATTGTTGAAATATAAACTGTATAATAAAGAACAGGGTATATACTTACGTTATTTGTAAAAAAAAATAAAATAAAAAATTAATAAGTTAAAAAAAATCTGCCAGGACAGTTAAATTTTAAGAAAAAAATGGCTGAAATTGCCGAGAAAAATTTACTTATAATTGAAATAATTTCTCCAAAACAACTGTTTGGCATAATATTTTTGTACGATTGTAAAGTTAAGGGAATAATCATTCTAAAGATCTAAAATTTAATATAATTTTGGATTTTTAAAGTTAAAAAAATCTGCCAGGACAGTAGCCTATTACGTTAGAAATTTTGTTGAAATCAGCTCAAAATCAAAATATAAAGTTAAATATCTTCTTCAAAATGAATGTCTGGTAAGCAAATTTTGATTCATTGGAAAGTTTGAAATATAAGCTTTAAGAAAAAATAAAAAGATATGGACTTTTATTACATTAACACAAAAAAAATCTGCCAGGACAGTAGCCTTTTGCGTCAGAAATTTTGTTGAAATTCGCTTAAAATCAATGGATAAATTTGAATATTTTGTTCAAAATGCATGTCTGGCAAGAAAATGTGTGTTCATTGGAAAGTTTGTATTATCAGCTTTATGAAAATATAAAATTTTATGAACTTTTATTTTGTAAACATAAAAAAAATCTGCCAGGACAGTAGCAAACTATGTTAAATGTTTGAATAAATGGCGGAAATCAACGTAATTTTTTAATTATAAATGAAATAGTAATTTTATTACCATTGTCTGGCATACTTTTTTGATATTATTAGGACCAAATCATTCAAAAAATCTATAAATTTATTTTTTAATCATTTCTTAAAGTAAAACAAATATGCTAGGACAGTACCTTATTATGAACTAGTTTAGAAATTTGTTTTAAATTTAAAATAATTCTCAAAGATTTTTTTTGTTTTATTCTATTCAAAGTTTGCAGTTTAAGCTTTATCAGTGATATATTCATGAAAGTGAACATATTTAGAAAACATAATTATTGGTGTGTTCATTAAAAAAATATTTACTTATTTCGTTATGTTGATTAATTTGATCTCTTTTCAGTTTATTAAAGGTAGCAGACAGATCATTGAAAGGGCATGGGCTTATATTTTATTAATCAAAAACATTTCATACACATACATACATATATATAAATAATCATACAATACAATAAAAAAAAAACACAAAAATTAAAAACTGTAAAATCTCCTTTATATCGGAAGCAAACTCTTAACAAATTAAATTAAGTTTTGACAGTAACAAAGTCACTGATTGGTGTCAAATCCTCATAGGTGTTTATTCACTAATTAGTAATGTGTTTAGAGCACAGGAATGTGTCACCTTCTTTTATCCCCGTACACGAAACGTGTTTTCAAATGTTGCATTTTTTAACTCCTTTCTGCCATTTGGTCTTATGCTCAGCTTATCCAATGAAAAATGGTTTTACTAACTGCAACATAAATAATAAACAAATGCACATGGTCACACTTAGGAATGACAGCAATAACAGCTACGCTTCATTTAAAGACAGGAGAAAAGAAAGAATTTTCTTACAGCTGCCTCAATAATGAAGGAAATGTTTCTCTCACTGAAATACATAAATCATCTGTTATCTTGCAACAAAAACTTAACACTGTGTTGACAACTCTTGTAGAAGAGGAAAAATCAAAGCTTTCCAAATTAGGTATTACTAGTCTGTTTTCTATAATCTTGTTTATGCCAATCTAATCTTATGGAATAAAATTATTAATACATGCTTTATTCATTTATAAAATATATACATCTAATTTCTATTCTTTTTCATAAATTAATTAAGAAAATTAAGGTTACAGTACCAAAATTGCATCTATTTAGTAAAAAAAGCTTCGGAAATCTTAGAAGTTTTCTTAAAGACTAAACAATTTCTATTTTTATAATTTAACATTATTTATCCTGCAATCAGCTAACTATTGCACAAATAACAGGTACACAAATAAATTTTTGCTTTATTTGTACTTGTACAATGTTGTACAAATAAAGTCTCCTGTTACCCCCGCTTGCATGTTGAGCAAGCGGTAATGTGGATATTTCTTTTTGCGTACCAGTTCATTTTGGGGTCCTCTTCGCGGTCCACATTTTAACTATGTTGAAAAATTAAAGACAATGATTTAGATTTTAACAATTAAAGTTTCAAGTGTTGGGTGTACATGTACATGGTGTAAATTTCAGGATGAAAACAATACATTGTGTATGTACATTGTCGGAAAATATAAAATTTATTTGTACTTGCTACGAAACAGGAGAAAAGCTCGGCAAGCCTCACTTTTCGTCCTGTTTCTAAAGCTCATATATAAGTCTTTCAACATAGCTAAATTATAATATCCAAATTTATACACAAAACATTCACACTGAGTATATATCAGACAGATGAAGTATATTCACTGGAAAAAGGAAAATCCATGGAAATGTGGCCATGCGACGTCCACAAAAAGTCAAAATTATAAAATGAGCAATTAAAATATGTTACAGACATTCATTTCTCAAAAAAATGAATAGTAAGCATGGACAAACTATTTGCAAAAATAAAACAAAACATCAGTTATTTGATTTTAACGGATTTGAATTTAAGCTTGGAAGCAAGTTGGGTACTCATCATTACAAAATCATGGATCGTTGTTTCAAACCCATTTTTCTATGATTTTAATATGGATTCAAATTCAAATTGGTGGAACTTATATACATGTAGTAAATTAGAACACATCTACAAAATACACACAGAATGGTAACCTTTTGTCTGGATCATGAATAAACGTAGGTGAAAAAATCGTCAAAATACAAAATGTAGGTGCAATTTGGGTACCCTCACTTTAACCTTTTTTAAAACCTGCAGGGGTTGGATCTAAGTTTTATAATATTATTAACTCCTCATTTAGTAATATAAACTTATGTGTTAAAATAGAAACAAGAAAACTAACTTGTTCTCATCCTCTGTTGAATTGTTTGATATGGAGATAAACTTAGTCATAATCTGTTTACTTTACATCTGAGTGATTTGCCATTACATTTTGATTGTTCTTGTGACCGTGTATTATCTAGTACATTTTTATATGCCAAGCTTGATATTTATAATTATACCCCTGCTTTAAAAAAGTGGGGGTATACTGTTTTACCTCTGTCTGTCCGTCCATCCGTCCATGCATCTATCCATCCGTCAGTCCGTCCATCCGTCCCATGAAAATTTTTGTCGCATTTTTCTCAGGAAATACAATACAAGGATTTCTGAAATTTGGTTTCAGGGTTTATATAAGTCGGCTATACCGTGTGATGCATTTTCAGATTCATCACTCAACAACTTACTGTTTACCGAACACTTGTATCATTTTACACATGATAGCCAAGTTGAAAATTTTCGGCACATTTTTCTCAGGAACTACAGTACAAGGATTTCTGAAATTTGGTTTCAGGGTTTATATAAGTCGGCTATACCATGTGATGCATTTTCAGATTCATCACTCAACAACTTCCTGTTTACCGAAATATTTGGGCGGGGGTATCATCAGTTAGCAGTAGCTCACAGTTTCACTTGTTAAGACTAAAAAGATTAAAACATGTATACAACTAGAACCTCACTTAACTGTATATGCTCAGATATGTCAGAGGAGCAAAGAAAATTATTTGCCAAATTTAGACTCATTGATCATAACCTGAATATAAAAAGGGGTAGATACCTGAATTTAGAAATTAAAAATAGAAATGTAACTTATGTAAGGAAACAGTAGAAGGTGAAATGCATTTTTTATAAGAATTTCCTGTCCTTGAAAACTAAAGAAAGCCATTCATTATTAAATGATCTGAATTATAGATATAAAAATTTACCAAGCTTTCTTTAGTGAATAATTTTTTATGGCTAATGACTAATGAAGATAGTTATGTTATAACTTATATAAGACTCATATTAAACATGGAATCTGAACTAACAGAAAATTGGGACTAATTACTATAAAAATTTGTAAGGGTTCCTCGGAACCCAGTGTCTCACCTACTTTTGCTGTTAGTCGCAGGCTCAACAAAAATGGGGAAAAAATTATTAAAAATTTTCCTCTAGATACTATCTTTTGATTGTAAGAAGCTTCTATCCAAGTTTGGTAAAAATCCAGGACGGTTTATGAATCTAATAAATTTTTTAAAAACTTTAGCTGCAGACTGTATGTAATGTTAACTGGAAGAAAAACTAAGTCCATTTATGAGTAATATACGGAAAGACAGGAAATAAATTTTTACAAAATGTCCTTCTAGATACTAGCTTTTGATCATGAACAAGCTTCTGTCCAAGTTTGGTAGAAATCCAGGATAGTTTAAGAAAGTTATTAAAATTTTAAAACTTTAACCACAGAGTGAATGTAATGTTAACTGGCCGAAAAACTAAGTCCGTTTATAAGTAAAATACAGATAAACAGGATTTTTTTTTTTACAAAATTTACCTCTGGATACTATCTTATGATCATAAACAAGCTTCTGTCCAAGTTTGGTAGAAATCCAGGATAGTTTAAGAAAGTTATTAAAATTTCAAAAACTTTAACCACAGGGTGAATATTTGTGGACGCCGCCGCCAACGACGGAATGTCTCGCTTTTGCGACAAAAGTCGTAGGCTCGACAGAAATCAAACCCATATCTGAAATATTAGAATGATGGAGTTGTCCAAATCTAGCTGGATATCCTCAATAAAAAATACTTAATGTTGACATTTTTATTTTATGATTAAGTAAAATGTTTTTATACAATCGATACAATTATTGTTCTAATGAACCATTATTGTCTTATTTGTTTATTACGTTATGAACAAATACGTTGTAATTATTCTGCCCTTCAAAGGGTACCTTGATTGGTTAATAAAATTATCTGTATTTGTGCTATATTGAGCAGCCACGTTTTTGTAATAATTATCCATTAGATATGATACTTTTTGTCGATTTTGGTGATATTACTTCAAATTAATCAAGAGTTGCTGACCAAATGCCTGGAATCTCATGAGAAATAGAGTAAGCAGTTACTGATAATGGACCATTAACATGATAAGGATGCTAAACACAAGGAATTATTTTAATCTGGAATAATTTTAAATTCTGGAAAATTGTTAAAAATTTTATGATGAAAACTAACACAATTAAGGAGGGTTAGCCATTCATGCATGGCTAAGGGGAGTTAGTTAGTTCATACTTAAATTTCAGTGAAAGTAACTTGAACCTTAGCCATGTGCTCATGCCCGCGCATGGCTAACCCACTAAAGTTGGGTTAGTTTTCATCATACATCTTTTTTCAATTTTCCATTTTTATAATACAATTTTTGATCATGTTGATAGGTGAAAAGTCTGCAGATGCTAATAAAGATGACGAGGAAAATGATGACGACGATGATGATGAAGATGAAGAAGATGGATTATCTCCTCCTGATCAAAAGAGACAAAAAACATGAATTGACATATTTGAATTTTATTTTATAAGATGTACAAATAGAAGAAGTTTAATACTGTATAACAATTAAATGTGATGGACAAAATGCATATAATTTTGAAGTTTTTCATTACTGTATCTTGACATTCTTATCTTATGTAAGGCTAGTAAAATTACCTTTTATATTATGTTTTAGAAATTTTTAATTTTAAAATGACATGCATTTTCACAAACATAGACAGTATCTGATATTCATTGTATTGACAACAACAGTCTATGATGCCCCTCTATTCTTTTTTCCACATGAAAAATAAGAATAGAGGGGCATTATATATAAACTGCTGTTATTTTGCAAGAAGAAAACATTAGTTAAATGAGTAAAAAAAAGTTAAACTAAGGAATAGTTACTAAAAAAAAAAATATAGAAAAAAGTGCCTGTGGTCAGGAGCATTTAATTTATAGATTCATAGTTTGTTGTTCTTTGCTGTATATCATATTTGTTTTTTGTTTATTAGTCCCCTACCGACGAAGTCAAAGGGGACTTTAGGTTTGCACTCAGTCCATCTGTCTGTCCATCAGTCAGTCCGGCAAATCAGTTTTCCACACTTTTTTTCTTCTTGCTTGAAGATAATGAAATAATCAGTTTTCCACACTTTTTTTTTGTCATGCTTGAAGATATTGATTTGCTAATTGGTATATAGTTTTATCATGACAAGTTTCAGATTCAAGTTCGAATTTTGTTCCGGTCTGATGATTTTGTGCAGAGTTGTGGTCCTTGGACTTAGAAAATTCACTCAAATAATCAGTTTCTTTATTGGAAATAATTATTTAATGAAGTTTGAAAATTTATCCCACTTAACTGTCACAGTTTTGGTAGATTCCATAATTGCTCTGCTTTAAATTCTCAGTTTGGATTGTTCTAGTATAAACAAATATGGTACAAAATCTTACCTAAAAAAATAAGAAGATGTGGTATGATTGCCAATGAGATAACTCTCCACCTAGGTTATTTTGTTTTTAAATATTTAGTACCATATCTTGGACCTTGACAACTAACTTAATGGTTATACAAGTTATGAAACACCAACATGGTCTTTATACCAGTCGCTAGCATTATAAGTAGGAGGTATATTACATAAAAAAAATGCACTAACAAATCTTTAAAGATAAAAAAGTTTGTAAAATCATCTCAAGATTCTCTTAGGTTAATATTGCACAATAACATGCATAAATGCCATGCGAAAAATGCAGTCTCTTTTGGATTTTATGATTCCTGAACAAATTTCAGGAGCATATAGTTATTCCATCCTCTGTCCATGTATTGAAACATATAGTTTCTAGATGATTACTTGAGTTTCATGAATCTTATACAGATTGAAGATATAGGGAAATGAAAGAAGTCTTTTGATTTTTGGGAAAATAGGTCCAAGGAAAAGGTCACTTAGTAAAAATACTGTATTAATATTTGTGGACTTGTGGGTATTGGTGAATCACAAATTTAAATGATCAACAAAGTACAAATTTTCTATTGGCTTATATGCAGACTTTGGCAAATCCACAAAATCAAATTTTCTGTGAATATACATTTTTTCCTTAATCCATGAAAATTGGTACCCACTAAAATTAATGAATGGACAGTATGGAAAAAAGGTTTTCAGATGGTAGTTTGAGTTTCCATTGATTGATTGGAATTAGACTTATAGAGATTTGTTATAGGGAAGGGGAAGAAGACTATTTATTTTGGGATTATCAGGTCAAAGGTCACACACTTAGAATAGAAAAAGAAATGGAATAATATTTTCCAGAAGGTAGCTTGAGTTTCCTTTGCTTGATAGGAATGAAACTAATACAAATGTTAAAGGAAAGAAAAGAAACCTATACGTTTTTATGTAAAAGGTCAAGGTCACTGTTATTAAAAAAATATGAAGAAAAAAAATTGTTTCTGGATGGTAGCTTGAGTTTCCCTGGATTGGAATATTAAAATTGTACAGATGGCAGATATATGGAAGTCAAGGAGAAGAAATATATTGATTTAAGGGTCAATGTGACAAAGGATAAAGGTCAACCCTTGAAATAAATTTTGGTTTTTTTTATCAATAAATGCAAATCTTGGACATCAGTGAGCAGTGCCAGATTTTTATAATAATATTTTAAGGTATTTTTATTTTTAACAAGAGATCTGTACTAAAACCATGGTTTGTATATATGAAATAAATATCTAAACTTAAATAATTTAAATTGGTTTGTGTTTTACAGTTATTTAGAGATGAGAAATGTCTCTTTGATCTGAACACCACTAATATATTAATTAGATTTAGTATATGATATTTAATCTTGTATCTGTTTATTTGGAACAATTGAACTAATTCTTACTTAGAACAAGCTTGGTGTGAAGTGAGTAGTTTTAGAGGAAAATTTTAATAGCCTTTATGATCATGTGATCGACTGGTATAGTTTTTTCAACCTAGTATTTTAGAAGAAGATTGTTCCTGCATTTATTTTTAGAAGATGTAAACCTATCAGGATTTTTAGGTATGTATATAGATAGTGTCATAATTTAGATGTAGGTAATTATGATGAGAATATCAAATTGTTGAAACTATGAGACACATTGCATTATAATGACAAAGACATGATAGATAAACATATTTTTCATGATTTCTGTGCTAAATGATCACAAATTTTTGCAAATGATAAAATCGATATCCCACTAAATTTTTACTTGATATATTTCTCTTATACCTTGTGGATATTCATAATGTTGTAAACTTCCTTTATGGTATTTGGGAGGCATATCCATCCAGCATTTATCATCTTCATAATATTTTAAAACCTCATAATTTATATGAACAAAAGTTTAAAAAGGAGATGTACATGTAGGTTAAATGTTAATGATCAAAAGACAGCAGTCCAACTACAAAAAAAGGAATTTATTCCTTGAAATGTTGAATATTTAAAAATCAATAATATATTTTATTAATCTGTAATCAGACCAAATAAAGGACATTAACCAACCTAGCTACTTCTCAAGTTGATGCTTTTAGAGTTAGTTCCTGTTATGGTTTTAAGATAGTCTCCTTCACCTTCAAAAGGGGCACGACTAAATGTATAGTTTTATAAGAAATCTCAGTTGGAAATAAAAGTTTGTATGTAAATAATCCTTGAGATTCAAATATATGAATTTGATGAAAGTTTTACAGCATCAGTTGATATAGGTTTTACTATTTCAGAGCTTTATGGAATGAAGATCAAACTTCTATGGTTCTATATTTACAACATTTGTATAATCCTTGTACATGTACCAATGAGCCAACTCTAGGTAAGTTTATTTATAATTGTTTTTTTTTTAAATTCTTTTGATGGGAGGTATGACTCACAGCTTTTGTAGTTGATTTTGCTTATATTAAACAATGCCAAAAATATACATATTTTTTATTCCATTTTTACATGCATATTGGTAATGGTTATGTCCAAGAGGGTGGGATAATTAAAAAAAAATTTAAACTGCAACCAATCATTATTGAATTCCATATAAATTGAATAGCAGCATTTGTTCGTTGAAAGAGAGAAACTTTAATAATTGCCAGTTTTGGAGAGTAATTCTATAAAAATACATGTGTCTTCATTTTTTTTATATTTGAAGGAAAGTGGTATGTTTTTATTGATATTTGTTTTACTCATTACTACCAGTTTTGCCTATATTTAGGATGTGAGTAAGCAAGATTTTATTGAAAGTTATCTTTCATGTTAAGACTAGTACTGTGTACCTGATATGTTTAAAATTTCCCAAAGTCATTGCTGGAAGTGAAAATGACAGTATGCCATTAAAGAGTTGAAATACTGTAAATTCAGAAATTTTTGCGTGCATTTATTATTGCGATTTTTCAAGAGTGGACAAAAATGCGAGTTTAGTTATTGTGATTTCAAAGAAATCTGCATACAGGTCTATGTTTCAGTTATCAGAATGCGAGTTCTTATTATTGCGATACTCACCCAGTCGCAGATTAATAAAAACCTCGCAATAATTTCTGAATTTACAGTAGACATATTCATATAACATCAACATAGACATCATTTTGTCTCTGGTGGCTAGATGTCTCATTGGCAATCATACCACATCTCATTATATTGTATATTCAGTTATTCATTATGTGATCTTTTCAAAACAAAAAATCCTCTCATCTAACCTACTCAAGGATCAATTTCTTTTGTTTTCAACTGGACCTAAAAATCATGTAAAGGTAGATTGATACTTAATTAACTTACATTTTAATAATTAAAGTTTCATAGTGTATGTATTTATTTTTTAACCTAAGCTAACCCTGCCACGTCCAATCTGTGTTTTTGTTAGATGTATTTCTATTTGTATTCATCTGATGAGTTAAGCCTTTTTCAACTGATTTTTGTCTCGCCTGCGACAATAGTCTTGAAAAGTGAGACATAAAGATTGCTTTTCTGGCAATGTCTTCGGCTACAACGGCGTCAACAATTGTTAAGTTTTCTGCTTAAGTTAGTTTGATAGTAACTTCATGTGATAGATCTTTGATATTTAATATAAAGTTGCATTCCTATCAGTACATATCAGTTTGACGACTATTTTGAGGCCCTGCTCCCTAGGTCATGGTCTAGTGACTTTGAATTAATTAGCAATTTTCAATGTTAAGTTTTCTGCTTAAGTTAGTTTGATAGGATCTACTGGTGCTATAGCAATGATATTTTGTATGAAGTCACATTACTATCAGTACATATCAGTTTGACAACTATTTTGAGGCCCTGCCCCCTAGGTCATGGTCCAGTGACTTTGAATTAATTAGCAATTTTCAATGTTGAGTTTTATGCTCAAGTAAGTTTGATAGGATCTTCTTGTGAAAGATAAATGATACTTTGTACGAAGTTTCATTGCTATCAGTTCATATTAATTCGACGACTATTTCCAGGCCCTGCCCTCTAGGTCATGGTCCAACCACTTTGAATTAAATAGCAATTTTCAATTTTAAGTTTTCTGCTTAAGTTAGTTTGATAGGATCTACATGTGATATATCAATGATATTTTTTATGAATGGCATAACTATCAGTACATATCAGTTTGACCACAATTTTGAGGCCCTGCCCTTGAGGACATGGTCCAGTGATTTTGAATTAATTAGCAATTTTCAATGTTAAGTTTTCTGCTTAAGTTAGATTG